GAAGGGGTCACAGGGCTGTGGGGGGTGTGAGTGAGGTCCTTGCACTCTCAGGGCACATTTATTTGTTGAGCCCACTGTGGGGTCCTGGGCCGTGCTCTGAGGAGGAATGAACTGAACACATGTGAAAGTATAGTTCTGTTCCTTAGTTTGTAGATGAAAACCCTCCTGGTACCGCTTACCCAATAGGAAATATTATACCTATACAGTACAGCAGTTGCCTTCTTGGAAAAATAAAGATGTGGGCCCTGGGTTGGTGGTACAGCAATTCTGTAGATTGACTAATCCACCCAGAACACCTTCCAGATTTTAAATGGTACGTTTCAAGTAGCCGATTGGCAGAGGCTGGACTACAGGTCTAAGACATTATCTTCCTGCAGGAGGCGCTGTGGCAGCTATTCCCGTGGGGCAGTATAGGGAGAAATATGATTGGTTGTGCCGGGCTGGGTGCCGGCTGCCTGTAGTGGGGGAGGTCTGCGGAGATGGGAGGCTTTTCATATTAACCTCTTTAAAAAAAAAAAAAAGGTTTTGCTGTGATTTTTCACTTTATTTTCAAGCGTTTGTTTGGGATCAGTTTTATCCATTGGTATATCTTTTCTAATTTTGAGTTTAGAGGTACTGAATACAGTACTTATTCAAACTACACAAATTTCATGTAAAATAGAGAGTTTTGCTATTATCTCCTATGTTGTGGTGCATGAGCAATTTTCTCTCTCCTTTACTGAGTACATGATTCTTGATGGCCCACCATGAGCCAGGCACTGTTCTGGGCCTGGAAGACACGTTGCTGGACCTTGCATTCTTTGTCTGTATTGTTGAGTGTTATGGTTTGTGTCTGGATGTCCCTCCTCCCTCCCCAAAACCTCATGTGCTTAAAGGTGGGGCTTTTGAAATATGACTGGATTATGGGGGTGCAGCTGGCTTGCTCTTAGGAGGTGGGGTCTGTTTGGCAGAGGCAGGTCACCAGGGGCATGGTCTGGCCAGGCGAATCTCCCTTCATGGCTCTCCCTCGACCCACTTCCAGGCTGCCACTGGGTCAGCAGCTGCCATCTGCCAGGACCCTGAACCTTGCCGTTGTGCCACAGAACCAGCCAACTATGGACTGAAGTGTGAGCCAAAATAAATCTCTCCTCCTTTAATGTGTTAACGTCACATATTGAGTCTCAGCAATAAGGAAGTGACTAAGACATCAGTAAACTAGATGCTAAGGCCCTCAACTTGAGGGCATGGTAGACTCCCCAGAGTCCCAGCACAATGGCCCAGGTGGGGCCTAAGAATTAGCAGGTGTGACTGGTTCCCATGATGCTGACACTGCAGCCCAGGAACCCCTCTTTGGGACCCCACCTACGGTTCCATCTGGGTCTGTGCTAATAAACAAACCACAATCCTGTTGTAGAAATATCAGCAAATAAAGGCAAGGATCCTCTAGACAGAATACAGAGTATGCCTCCCCAAGAGCTGAGAGGACTTCATCAGACAGACACGTCTACAGAAATTAAAAGATCTCACCTCCATAAACTCACACAAGGGTCTAAACCTGGTCAGTCACAAAATGTCATTCTCCTGGGGGAAGAGATATTTTGCAGGGCTTTCAAGGAAGGTTAAATAGAATGACCGAAGCCAGGAAGGCATTTGTCAGTCACCACTAATGCCCACGGGAAGAGGATGCTGTTGGATGTCACCTTAGAGTCCACCACAGTTTACCCACCCCACAGAGCCCACCTGTGAGTCCCTGCCAGGGGACACCATGCCCTGCAGGAACACCTGCACCCAACTCCAGGGCTGTATTCATGCTGTTTCCCATCTGCCCCCTCCCCCAACCTCTTAAAGTCTCACTTGTCCCTGAGGACCACAGTGAAATACGGGTATTCTCTTGAGAACTAACATCTGCCCCACCTCTACTGGGATCTTTCTCTGTCTCTCAATTCAGGGGGAGACTTGATCTTTATTTTTGCTCATTGATTCATTCATTCAACAAATATTATCCTTCCTTTAACAAATCCTTAACAGAGGGTCTTTGAGATACTGGGCATCATAATAGGCTTTGGAAATAGAATCTTAGGTTAAAACTGACTCCTGGTCCAATAGAGAACAATTTATTAATCAAGTAACTGCAGCGGTGGGTTTCCAGTCACAGGCTGAAAAGAGCACTCCGAAGGAGAGGAGTAGGGTTTATAAGAACATAGAGAGAGGGATCTGCTGTAGAGGTTTGAAAGATGCTCAGAACTCAGTTAGATGAAGAGAAAGTGAGAAGGGGAAGATCTCTGCACATGCTAGAACAGCATGTGCAAAGGTCCTGTGCTGGGAAAAAAGAAGCATGGTGTGTTCCAGGAAGGGGCTCATGGTACAGCACTGGGGTTGGGGGATATAATACTAAGCATACTTGAATGTGTCCCCCGTCAGGGACTCACAGGTAGCCTCTGTGGGGTGGGTAAACTGTGGTGGACTCTAAGGTAACACCCAACAGGGCCAGCACTCTGACCATTGAACCAGGGGGAGCCATTGGGGGTGAGCAAGGATTGGGGAGGCTGCGGAAGGAGTGTCTGCTGGGACTGTGTCACAAGCCCTGAAGGAGAGAGCATTTCCAGGAAAGGTGGTCACTTTCTGTCTGGATATTTCCCTCATTCCTCCCTTTCCCTGCTGATTGTCACCATGGGTTCAGGTCTGATTTGCATCTTCGTGGATTCAGCTCTATTCTGCTGGTTTTCAGGTATTTGGTGCACTGGAAGCCTTTGGGGGGATGGGATGGATCTGGTGACAGGAGCCACCTTGGCAAGGGGACCTGGTCTCCCTGCTTCTGAAGCCCCATAGCATGGCGCCTCGGCTCCGAAGTCTCCAGTGACATCCATTGCTCAAGTTGGCTTCAAGTCCAAGGTTCAGGCTGGCATCTCTGGGCAGCCTCTGCCTCCTCTACCGGCTTCCTTCCAGCCGCGCTTCATCCCCACCCCCAGACCCTGGCTCCCAGCCTCCCTGGCCCTTTCTCCTGCGGGAGAGGCACAGAGCCCCAGCTCAGCTTGCAGGTGGAGAGCACAGCTCCAGAGATCTCCAGACTTTCCCGCTTAAAGTCCTTGCTGAAAGAATTTTGTAAAACTCTTTCCCCCTCCATCCATCTTAAAGACTGCATCTTCATTTGACATCATCTGTTTGCAGTCAATGTGATTTCCAGTCTACCCTAGACATGAATTTTTTAAAAATACATTCTCACCGTATAGGCTGGCCTTGGACTTGCAGGGATCCTCCTACCTCAGCTTCCTGAGTGCTGAGATACAGGAGTGTGCTGGCATACCCAGCTGAATTTTTAAGGAAACTATTGCATCACAGTTTAAAATTTATCCAGTGGACTCTCAATACCATAGCAATTTGATGCCCACCATCACCCATTTTCAAAATGCACCAACTCAGTCTTCTTTAATAGTCTGTTCTTTTTTTCTCCTGGAAATTTTATTTCTATTGTGCTTTCCCCTTGGAATTTTATCCTAATGTAATAATGTAACATATGCTTATGCTTAGAATGCTTTTTCATTTGTGTTCCTACTGTGTTTCTCTAAAACAACCTTCTGTAAAATTGGAAATTCTTGAAATTTTTCCTAGAAGCACAAAGCTCTGAGTATTAACATTTTCTTCCGGCTAGAGTTATCATTATAATTAAGAATAGGATACAATTATCAAAAAATACTAATTTGGGTAAGTAATTAATAAACATGAAAAGTAAATTGATGTCTCCCATAATAAGATGGTGATACTGCATGAGTTTTGGAAATAGATTTTTTTGTTGGTATATGACAGGCACACCCATCCCTGCCCAGGTCACGGCATACAGGAGCCCGTGCAGGTACACCCAGGAGTAAAATATTGCTGGCACTGGACCATGTGTGTAGTTGGCTTACTTACCTGTGAAAGAATTGTACTTATTGCTGGCATGAGACAAGAATCCGCATCGATTGTATTTCCATTTTTCATTTATATAGAAAGAAGTACCAAAAACTTAATTTACATGAATTGGATGGGAATAGAAGGTTTGTTTAAACAGGGTCACTCTGTTCTTTGACTTCCTTCTGAGCTATGTAGTAATCTGTCACCAAGAATTACATTCTAGTTTTTCTATTAGGATTTCCTAGTTTTAAAAAAAGGAATGAGAAACTTCTCTCTCCTGGAAGCAGGGAGGAAGAGAGAGAGTTTCACTGCTTCCTGCTTGCTTCTTGATTTGCAAGGTGCCCTCTTGTGTGGTCACTGACGATGGTCATGGGAGGGGAAAGGGGATTGTCTCTGGGTCAGTGAAGCCCAATTAAGATCTGGGGTGGGATGGTAAGGGGCTTTGCTTTCTTTGTGCAAGGAGGGGGGAGATTACAAAAGAGCAGGTGGAGAAGGACAGCTCACCCCCCTCTCAACCCCAGTTCTAGCAGTTTGTGTAGAAGCTGAAGATCGGGAAACTGAATCTCTTAAAACTCAAGCTGTGCGTCCAGTGCTCAGAAAGTCCTCCTCTGAACCCAGCAGTCCAAAGCCCAGCTTGAAGCCCATAAGCTTCCCAGTCTCTGAGTCCTCCTCTTTCCCACTTTGCTCATTGTATGTTTCATGTGACCATCACCTTTACAACTATAAGCTCCTCAAGGGGCTCAGGACAGGTGCCCGTTCCCTAGCGCTGTGCCTTACACTTAGCAGGAGTCTGGTAAATACCAGGCCAATTGCCTAAGGTAAGTTTCCTGATAACCCTCCCGGGTCCTAGAATGGTGCTGGCATTCAGTAGCCGGGTCTCAGAAGAATAGGTGAATTAATCAGTGAGCAAAGAGGAAAATAGAAAATCAATGACCTAATGAGCCAGTGGGCAAAGGCTTGAAAGTCAGAGTCCACAATTTGTGGGAGGATCCGGATCTGTGGAATTGTAAAGGATGTGGAGTGGACACACAGCTTAACGTTCCTTGTTGTAACTGGTCTTTGTAGACATAAGCACTCATCACAGAACGTCCATGTAAATTGTGCCTCGGGCTTTGTCTCTTGTGTTGCAGGTGTGTGCAGCCTCTTCTCACCGTGGTGGTGTCTGCACTGTACCTCAGCCCGGGTGAGGATGTAAAGCCCCCCGCTCTGCACACGCGTGGTCCCGGCCGGCAGGAACCCCCAGCCCCAGCCACCCTCACAGCCATGTCAGCCGTGGAGTAGCGCGGACACCTCCTCTCAGCTTCTCAGGGTTTCAGTCTTTTCGGGTTTTCTTCATTTACCTTTTTTTATGGTTTTGTGGCTGGACGTTGACAACCAAGTCACAGGCACCATGGGGGATCAGCAGTTGTACAAGAGCAACCATGTGGCCCACGGTGGTGAGAACCTCTTCTACCAACAGCCACCCCTTGGTGTTCACGGCGGGCTGAACCACAGCTATGGGAGTTCAGCCGCAGGCGGCGGAATGGACGCCCCTCAAGCTTCGCCCATCTCCCCCCACTTCCCCCAAGATACTCGGGATGGTCTGAACTTGCCTATTGGCTCCAAAAACCTTGGTCAGATAGATACCTCGAGACAGGGAGGCTGGGGAGACCACACAGGGCCTGGCAACCATGTCCAGCTCCGCGGCAACCTGACCAATTCCAACATGATGTGGGGGCCTCCCGCCCAAGTGGAGCCCGCTGATGGCTATCAGTACACCTACTCCCAGGCCAGCGAGATCCGAACCCAGAAGCTCACCAGCGGCGTCTTACATAAGCTGGACTCCTTCACCCAGGTGTTTGCCAACCAAAACCTGCGAATCCAGGTCAACAACATGGCCCAGGTGCTGCACACCCAGTCGGCAGTGATGGATGGAGCCCCTGACAGTGCCCTCCGCCAGTTGCTGTCTCAGAAGCCCATGGAGACCCCGGCAGCAGCTTTGCCATCCCGGTACCAGCAGGTGCCGCAGCAGCCTCCCCCTGGTTTCACAGGTGGGCTGTCCAAGCCGGCCCTGCAGGTGGGGCAGCACCCTGCCCAAGGGCACCTGTATTATGACTACCAGCAGCCCCTGGCCCAGCTGCCGATGCAGGGAGGACAGCCGCTGCAGGGCCCCCCGGTGCTGTCCCAGCCCGTGCCACAGACGCAGCATCAGTATTATCCCCAGCACCACGCGGGACAGCAGCGTCTCTCCATGCAGGAAATGCAGGTGCAGCCTCCACAGCAGCAGCAGCCGCGCGCGCCTCAGCCCCAGCAGCAGCCTCGGCAAGGTCCGATGCAGATACCTCAGTATTATCAGCCCCAGCCCATGCAGCACTTGCAAGAGCAGCAACAGACGTCGATGCACCTGCAGCCCCCTTACTACCACAGGGACCCCCACCAGTACACCCCGGAGCAGGCACATGCCGTGCAGCTGATTCAGCTGGGCTCCATGGCCCCCTACTACTACCAGGAGCCCCAGCAGGCCTACAGCCACCCGCTGTACCAGCAGAGCCACCTGCCCCAGCACCAGCTGCGGGAGGATAGTCAGCTGAAGACTTATTCCAGTGACAGGCAGGCCCCGGCCCTGCTGGGTTCCCAGGGGGACCCGACGCCTTCTGATACGGGAATGGGAGACCCGGCCAGCTCAGACCTGACCCGGGTCAGCAGCGCTCTCCCCCACCGGCCAATCCTGTCCCCCACAAGTGGGATTCACCTCAACAACACAGGCCCTCAGCATCCGCAGCCGTCTCCCAGTGCCATGTGGCCTCAGGTATTATTGCCATGGGGTTTCTCTCCAGTCTTGGGGGGTGGCAGGCCCAATCCTAATCCCCCCTCCCACCAGCTTCACACATTCATAAATGTTAAGCTGCCGGTGCCAGACACTGTCTATGCCAGGCACTTGGAAATCAGAATCAACTTTGATTGAGTCCTTTGATCTCAGGAAGGAGATGATCAAAGACTGAGTTCTATCCCAGAGGAGTCACACGGTGATCTAGATCTTGAATCAGATTCCAGGGAACCCCACAGTTAGGTGGGTGTCTTAGCTGCCCATTGTATCTGGTATCCTCAGGGTATTTCCTGGGAAATGGGTCTCCCTTTGGGACTGTTAATGACACTATTTCTCAAAGTATATTGCCCTGAATAGCGGTTCTGCACAATATTAATGGATATTGCTGAAAGCCAGCAAGTTGTGCATAAATTTGGAGATTCTTAAAGTGGACCCCGTGGGCCTTTGATAGACCATTGTGCCTTGTGAATTCCTCAAAGAGGATGCTGCCTATAGCTGCAGAGAAAGAAAATCTTAGCTGCCACAGGATCCAGGCTACAAAGTAAATTGGCAAGGGTCTGGTACAAGATGCTAGGGAGTGGCAGAGATTGGGGTCCCATTTCATTCAAGATGTTTAAAATCAATCCAGCCAGACAAAACACGACTGCTAGCCACAGTGAGCCTGGCCTGGGGTCCATGGTTATTAACTCTTGATTGGTTGGTTTCCCAAAGCATTTGGCTACAAAGGAGCATACTACAGTACGTGCTGGGGGTGGTTCATGCCTTGGCATAGTCAGGGACCACGCTCATGTGACAACAAGGCTTTGGGCAGAGGGGACCCGAAATGGCAAGCAGATGGTGGAGAGGAGGATGCTAAAGGAGTTTGAGGATGCAGAAGAACTTCCCCTTGGCCTGCTTGTGAGCCTTTGTGAATATATGAATGAGATGTTGTGTCACCCAGCTTTCCTCTCCGTGTCCTGCATGGGACAGGGCCTGTCTGTGCAGGGTGGGTGGAGCCTGTGTCCTGAGGGCCCATGGCTGGTGGCAGCTCTGGGTGAGGGGTAGTCATCCTGCCTCAGGGGCAGTTAGGTGAAAGGAGCCAGGGGCAGAGATGGGGCACAGTGGGCACAAGCAGGGGCACCCAGTATGCCTGAAACCCCTCTCTCAGAATCGCTGTTCTGTTTTTTTCTTGCTTTCGTCTTCTCTTCGGGGTCCGGTTTGGCTCAAAACTAGATGCACCTACCTGATGGGAGAGCCCAGCCAGCCTCCCCCGAGTCAAGGTAGGATGAGTGGGTGCTTGGTGGGTTTGGGGACACTGAGGGTTTTCCCGGGTTGCGGCTCACTTTCAATTCTAAATTCACAGCAGCTTCTCCAAGTGTGTAGGGTAACAGGAATAGTGCTGTATTAGGGCACCATGAGGGTGACAGGATCACTGTGTGCCTGACCATAGCAGGTGCACGGGGTTGGGGGTGTGGTCAAGGGCACAGCACTCGTCTGGGGTTCCTTCCCCAGCACCTAAAAAAATCAGAAACTGAGAGCACTCAACAACTGTTAGCTATTGCTGTTACCATCTTACAAAAGACAAAACTGGAATTCAAAGCTGTGCACAGCGGCACGCACCTGTAATCCCAGAACTGTAGGTGGTGGAGACAGGAGAATCGCAAGTTCAAACCCAGTGTGGGCAACTTCGTGACTTGGAAAGAAGCTGTCTCAAACTGAAAAGCAAAAAGGGTTGGTGATGCTGCTCAGTGTGAAAGCCCTGGGTTCGATTCCCGGTATGAAAGAGGGGAGGGGAGAGGAAGGAACTGAGGCTCAGACAGCTTCAAGTTTTATATCAAGCAAGCATTGAGTTCAAAACAGCGTTAGCACTGACTTCAAAGCCCACTGTCCACTGTCCACTGATTCAGTTAACGAGGGTTTATTAAGTGCCTGCTATTGCATGCAGCAGGGCATAGTGGCCTCGCCGCCTCCTTCATGAGTAAGGTAAATGATTAAAGATGTAGGCAGAAAGGTGCTGGGGATTTAGCTCAGCGGCATAAGGGCCTGCCTTGTAAAGCAGGCAGTCAAGAGTTCAATCCCCAGTACCGATAAAAAGGAAAAAGACAAAAAAAAAAGATGTAGGCAGAAGCCGAACTGCTGGAACACAGGGTCCAGGGGACACAAGACACACTTGTGTCTCAGCAGTACCTCTCGAGGAGCTGCGCTCCGGCTGACCCCAAAAGGGCAATGAGCCGCTCCTAAAGGCCTGGAGGGAAGGAGGGCATTATGTGTGTTGGGCAGCTTGTGTGATGTTTAGAAAGCCCTTTCTTTCCCACTCTGAGCTTGGTTTTCCATCTGAAAATGGAGGACCGTGGAAGGAGGCACTAAATGAACGAAATGTGTTCCTTGGGGTGTTTGGACCATGTTTCCCCCTTGTCACTGTGTCTGTCCTCTCCACCTGGCCCTCCCCTAAACAGTGGCCAACCCAAAGGAGTATTTGGGGAGCCGTTCGATGCCAAGGGCAAGCTGACGTGCCCCATCTGCCTGAAGGAATTCAAGAGCCTGCCCGCACTGAATGGCCACATGCGGTCCCACGGCGGGATGAGGGCCTCCCCCAGCCTCAAACAGGTTAGCAGGCGCCGTCCCCCACGCTTCCCAGGCCATGTGTTGCTTGCTTTGCTTTGCCAATATCAGACACGGAGGACAGAGGGACATAAGACCAGAGGCCAGGTCAGTAAGCCCCTCTTCCCTGGCCTTGTGGACGAAAGTCAGAAACAGATGCTAGAAATCCTTTTAGGGATCCCAGTCTACCTCCCAGAAAAGACAGGCTAACATGTAAATGCAGTACTCTAACTTCTACTGCTTGAACCCCCCAGGCCATGGTCCTTGGGCCTCCAAGGTCAGCAGTCAGTAACCAAGGAAAGCTTACGTAACTGTCAGCCTCTGAGCCACAATCTGCTCACTGCTGCAGTGGGTGTTTGCCTCTAGCACTCCAGAACCCCTTAGACACACTGGGTTATCCAGGACAGCTATCCGGGTAGCAAACAGTCCATGAGCTTTTGAGTTAGATTAGAATTCTCAGAACTCTTTGCACATAGTTGATCCTAATCCAAATCTAAGGAATTAATTCTGTCAATCAAAATCTTGGATTACCTGGATTGCTCCATTTCCTGGCCATGCCAGATTGAGGAGCTTTGTCTTCATTTTTTAAAAACAAACGTGTTTTGTATTTTCAGTGTAGTTTCCTAGCCTGGATAAATTTAAAGATACAATCCAGGGTGGGTAGTATAAACCTGTAATCCCAGCACTCTGGGAGGCTGAGGCAGGAAGACTGCAAATTAAAGCCTAACCTGTAATTTAGTGACTTAATGAGACCCTATCTCAAAATAAAAAGGACTGGGGATATAGCTCAGTGTAAAAGTCCTGAGTTCAATCCTGAAAATAAAAAATACGATGGAATGCCTAATTCTATTTGATGCATGCATGACCTGAGGCCTACTGAATTAGAAAGCCCCACATTAGATCACACATTATGTTTTGGCAGATGACAAGTCCAAGGCCTTTTCTTTAAAAGCGATGACAACTCCCCTACCCCAGTTTTTAAAATACTTTTATATACAACTTGATACATGGTCAGGATGCTTCAGTGAGAACACAGAACACACAGCCTTGTCTACAACCCTCCACCCACACTAGATGTCCTGGAACCTTTTTAAAAAAACAAATCGCATCCCTTTGGGAGAGCAGTATTCAGCCCAGGACCAAAGCTCTCATTGTCTGTGTAGGAGGAAGGAGAGAAGGCCCTGCCGCCTCAGCCCCAGCAGCCACTGCCGCCTCCGCCTCCGCCGCCACCGCCACCGCAGCTCCCTCCCGAGGCAGAAAGCCTCACGCCTATGGTCATGCCCGTGTCTGTCCCTGTCAAGCTTCTCCCGCCCAAGCCCAGCTCTCAGGGGTTCACCAACAGCGTTGCTGCCGCCCCCTCCGCCAGAGACAAGCCAGCCAGCTCCGTGTCGGACGACGAGATGCCCGTGCTCGTGAGGATGACCCTCTCTCCCCCACACTCTCCCCAAGGGGCTGCCCCCCGTGCTCCCGCTGTGAGTCGCTGCTCTGCCCCCTGCCTGGGGTGGGGATGTCCCTTTGCTTTCTCAGAGATAGAGACAGCTCTTCCAGAGCCACTGGCCTGAACTCAGATGTGGCAGAGCACCCCTGGCCCCCTGCCCACTGTGGCAGAGCATCCCCAGCCCCTGCCCACTGCCCGCTGAACGCTGATTACTCTTGCAACTATCTGATGATAGCTTAGCTTGGATTCTGGACAGCTCAAGGGGTCCCCAGGTTAGGACAGTTGATAGCTCAGCTGACTGTCACCAATTCGGCCACACCAGTTAATTCAGATGTGGACACAAGTAGCCACTACTCAGGGCACCCGACCTCCAGGCCACCTCAGACATGGCACCAAAGAGGTCACCCTGTCAAAGCCATCTGTTTATCCCTCCCTTAAAGTTTTCTTTCTTCCCTGACCCCCCACCTCACACCAAGCCTGCGCCTGTGTGCTGGGCTATGTCAGACTCATCCTGCCCAGAGTACCTGAGTGGCCTTCGAGAGGAGGAGGTGTGAGGGGAGCTGGGGGCCAGGCAGAGTAAGAGGACCAGAACAGTCCACGAGCAGCCAGGAGGAACGGTGTATGTTCCTGGTGCTGTCAAGGCCTCAGAAGGGGAGAGACGGATGGGAGCCTCAGGAGGAGGCCTCCCAGGAGCACGGGAGGAAACCAGCGACAGGCAGAGGAGTCCATGTGGCCAGGCCCCTCAGCCCAGGGACATGATCTGCCCCAGAGGACTCAGTCAGGAGTCCCCGTCACACGGGGTCACGGCCGGGCAGCCTGCCCCACTCACTTGAGATGGTAGGAGAAACCAGAGAGACAGACAGTGTCTAGGGAGAAGCCCTGCATTCTAATCCCAGTTCAATTTCTAGCCGGGTGGGCGAAAGACAGCTGAGTCCAGATGCCTGCTAGGGGACACTGTGATGCCATCTGTCCGCTGGGTACAGTCAGGGTAGCTTCACTGCCCAGCGGGCTCACAGGCTGGCCTGTGGAATCCTGAAATCTGATGTGGAGGTAGAGGAACAGGACATTCAGGTCCAGGCGGAACCCCACAGGGGCTGTGGCCCTCAGTTTAGTAGTCAGGGTTGTAGCACAGTTAGGAGCCTGGGAGTCACCTGCGCCCAGCCTGCTGGGTGTGGGTCATGGTGTCCTCAGCCCCTCCCTCTCCACCACTCAGCTCTTCCCTCCACACCTCGGCCCCGCCCTCCACACCTCGGCCCCGCCCTCCACACCTCAGCCCCGCCCTCACACCTCAGCCCCTCTCCTCACACTTGAGCCCCTCCCTCTCCACCACTCAGCTCTTCCCTCCACACCTCAGCCCCTCCCTCCACGCCTCAGTCCCGCCCTCCATGCCTAAGCCACGCCCTCCACCTCAGCCCCTCCCTCCACGCCTCAGTCCCGCCCTCCATACCTAAGCCACGCCCTCCACCTCAGCCCCTCCCTCCACGCCTCAGTCCCGCCCTCCATACCTAAGCCACGCCCTCCACCACAGCCCCTCCCTCCACGCCTCAGTTCCGCCCTCCATACCTAAGCCATGCCCTCCACTTCAGCCCCTCCCTCCACGCCTCAGTCCCGCCCTCCATACCTAAGCCACGCCCTCCACCTCAGCCCCTCCCTCCATGCCTCAGTCCCGCCCTCCATACCTAAGCCCCGCCCCCTCCACCTCAGCCCCTCCCTCCACACCTCAGTCCCGCCCGCCATACCTAAGCCATGCCCTCCACCTCAGCCCCTCCCTCCACGCCTCAGTCCCGCCCGCCATACCTAAGCCACGCCCTCCACCTCAGCCCCTCCCTCCACGCCTCAGTCCCGCCCTCCATACCTAAGCCACGCCCTCCACCACAGCCCCTCCCTCCACGCCTCAGTTCCGCCCTCCATACCTAAGCCATGCCCTCCACCTCAGCCCCTCCCTCCACGCCTCAGCCTCTTCCTCCACCACAGCTGGGAGCTTCATTGGGGTAGGCTCGCTCCTCACGTGGCCGCCCTTCCCGTCGCCCCCAGCTGAGCAGCACCTTGACCCCCTGTCCTGTGGCCTCTGCAGGGCGCACACTCCCGCGCCTGCCCCTCTTGGTGTCTGTTACCCTCAGGGCAGGTGTCACCAGACCAGGTGCTGACAAGGTGGCAGGCAGCTGAGGCAGGGTCCCCGCTCCTCTGAGGGTCGCGAGACGGCAATCCCAGCGTAGGGTCCCTGTCCCAAGGGCGCGGGTGCCCTTGACGAGGTTCCTGTCACGCAGGTGTGCTGACAGCAGAGGCACACGAAGCCGCGCCCCTGTCGCCCCGAGCCCAGCCCCGCTCCACATCCCGGGTTCCCCTGCCCACCCGCACCCCGGGGCCAGCGGCAGCGTAGAACCCGCGCTCTCCCCACAGGACCAGCCCCGGAGGCCGCCCCGCGCCGGCGAGAGGAGGAAGCCGCGGCCGCGGCCGGAGCCGCTCTTCATCCCGCCACCGCCCGCCTGCGCCCCAGGGCCCGCCGGGGGCGCCGCGGCCACACTGTTCCAGAGCCAGCTGCGCTCGCCGCGCGTGCTCGGAGACCCGCTGCTCCTGGACCCCGCGCGCGACCGCGAACCGCTGCCCTACACGCCGCCGCCCATGCTGAGCCCGGCGCGCCAGGGCTCGGGGCTCTTCAGCAGCGTGCTCCTGGGGGGCCACCTGGGCGGCCCGTGCGCGCCCCCGGCCCTGCCGCGCACCCCGCTCACGCCCACGCCGCGCGTGCTGCTGTGCCGACTCAGTGAGTGGCCGGGACGCCGGGGCAGGGTGGGGGCCAGGTCGGCTTGCTCGAGGTGTCTGGGGGAGCAGTTGCAGATCGCTGCGCAGCGGCGCAGGTGTGGTTCTTGCCCTCAAGAAACCTCGGGGTCAGAGTGGAGCCAGCTCTCCATCTAAAAATGTGTGAGTAGTGGCGCAAGACACTCCCCAAGAAATGCATTTAGCCGACGGAAGAGGAAGAGCTAGCTTAGGGGCTGTATGCAAACCTTGGTGTTTTAGCGTGCTTCCTGAAACTCCAGGGTGAAATTTGGGCCTAGTGGTGCTGGAGTCTATGTCCAGCTGGCAGGAGGCTGAGGCGGGAGGATCTCCAGTGCCTGGCAAATGCATTGGATCCCGGTACAAAACAAACAAACAAAAAAAAACAATAAGAGAGCTGGGGGTAGAACTTAGTGTAAACGCCCCTGGACCAGTCTCCAGCACCTCCAAAAATAAACTGAAAATCGTAAAAATTGAACTGTGAGCACATACACAGTGTAGTTCCCTCTACTTGGGAGGTTAAGGCAGAAGAATTTCAAGTTCAAGGCCAATCTAAGCAACTTAAAACCCCCATCGCTCTTTTGTTTTTCGTTTTTTTCTTTTTAAACAGGGTTTTAAAAGTTCAGTTTAAAAAGCATAATTCAGGCTGGCCTCAAACTCACAGCAATCCTCCTGTCTCAGCCTTCCGAATGCTGGGATTACAGATGTATACTGCTACACATGGCTCAAGACCTCATCTTAAAATAAAAAATAAATATTATGAGGGACCTGTATCCAGTATCTTTCTGCATAGAAACAATACAGCCTGGCAGACCAGCGTGGGGGGACTGGCTTCTCCTCGCCTTGTGCGAAAAATGGGTGGCCTAAGCCATTTAGCAGTGGGTTGCATCCCTCTCTGGGGACCAAGATAGGTTGGGGAGAAGAGGAGACCCAGAACTGCTTAGCCCACTGCCTGTTTGCTTTAGTTTTTTCAGCACCCCTTCCCTGTTGGCCAGTGACCTCTGGTTTTTGTGTTTCAGACAGCATTGATGGCAACAACGTGACGGTCACCCCAGGGCCTGGAGAGCAGACTGTGGATGTTGAACCGTAAGGAAAACCCAAACCTCAGCTGGGGATGGGATTGGGAACTTTGCAAAAGTCAGTCAGTTCTCCCTTACTTATAGTGAGCACTGGGAGAGAAATTGTAGGGTCACCATGTTTCTTGAGTACTTTTATTTTCTCTGTGCTTTATATTTCAAAGTCTTGGCCAAAGTCTAAATACATAGTAAAAACCTGGATGCAGACAACCTGGCATCTCCTTCTCTTGTCCCACAGGCTAGCCCGAGTGTGCCATGTGCATTCACATCCCCTGTGGCACTAAGTTGTTTCTTTTGGGTTGCCCAACTGTAAAAGGCTCCTGGCCAGGGATGGTGGTACATGCCTGTAATTCCAGCACATGGGAGGCTGAGGTAGAAGGATTTTCAAGAGTTCAAGGCCAGCGTGGGGCACACAGTGAGACCCTGTCTCAAAAAAAACCCAACAAACAAAGAAGGCTCCTCTGAATGCCCTTGTTTCCTCATCCCATCCATTGTCAGATTCTTGTCCAGACTTTTCTTGACTTTTGAGTGAGTTGTAGGAGGGACAGTAGTCCCCGTTTTGGATGAGGGAAATGTACAAGACTTTCAGTGGAAGCGTAGACGCTCCAGTAGTGCCAAACCCTGTATACAAGCAGACAGTGCCCCCATAGACTTATCTGATAACCAAGAGATCCACCAAGTGATAACAGATGGGCATCATATACCCATGGATGCTTCGGACAAAGAGATGATTCACAACTTGTGCAGGACAGAGCTGGTTCACCTGAGATATCATTATGCTAGCCAGGATGATATACAATTTAAAATGCATGAATTGTTTATTTATGGAGTTTTACATTTTTTGGACCTCTTTTTTTGCTTTTTTTGTTTTGTTTTGTTTTGTTTTTGTTTTTTGAGGTAGGATCTCACTATGTAGTTGAGGCTGACCTTGAGCTCACTATGTAGCCCAGACTGGTCTCAAACTCCTGACAATCCTCCTGCCTCTTGTCTCCCAAGTGCTGGGATTACAGGTGTGTACCACCATGCCCTGATGCACCTCATTTGACCATAGACAACTAAAACCATAGAAAGCAGAATTGCAGATAAGGAGTCACTGCTGTGTTGGGGAAGCAAAAAGTGGTTCTCTTCATGGAGAAGGACAAAAAAAGGGCTGTGTGGCAGAGTGCTGTGTATACTGATTCATGAGTCAGAAAACTATTCCAGGCATAGTGGTACATACGTGTAACTCCTGCCTTTGGGAGGCTGAAGCAGGAGCATTACCACAAGTTAGAGGCCCGTCTGCACTACATAGTGAGACTGTCTGAAAAAGGGTGGGAATCAGAAGACCTGAACTGTGAAACCATCTTATTTTTTATCTCTATTGAGCTAATCTTCTGGACTTTAGTTGACTCCTGTTAAATGGGAATAATTTGCTACCTTCTTTACATCATAGATCTTTGTGAAACTGATGGGATAATGTATGTGAAAGGATAAAAGTAAACACTTCATACTTGTCCTCCTCCACTTTACGGGGCCCTGCTCTGGACAGCTGTTCTTCTGGAATTAGCCAGCTGTCCACACCGGCTACAGAAAGGCCCAAGCAGGCTGCTCCCCGCAACATTTCCCCCAGACTTAGAGTGATTCCTTATCTAAGTGAAAATCCTGTGCCTGGAATCTTAGGGTCACACTGTGAGGAAATGCCCCTGTGTTCTTAAGAAGGAACTATTTTCCTCCTTTTGCAAGTTCCTGACAGTTGCCCTTGGCCTAGGCAATCAAATTGGAGATCACTCAGTTGTTTTTCTTTTTGTTTTAAAGACGCATCAACATTGGCTTGCGATTCCAAGCAGAGATCCCAGAACTCCAGGATGCCTCTGCTCTGGCCCAGGACACACACAAAGCCACACTAGTATGGAAACCTTTACCAGAGCTGGAAAATCAAGACCTCCAGCAACAAGGTATTGGCACACGGGAGAAGGTAGATGGACAAGATTTGCTTCTCTCCCTGGGACCTCTGGCTCCAGGACGAGTGTTGTTTTCCATTATTCCAAGCTCTTTCTGATGCAGTGGCTTCTCCTTGTTCCCAACAGTGGAGAATCTTCTAAATTTGTGCTGTTCAAGTGCATTGCCAGGTGGAGGAACCAATTTTGAATTTGCTTTGCACTCTCTCTTCGAGGCCAGAGGTGATGTGATGGTAAGGAACCCCGAAAAGGAAGCTTCCTGGTGGGTCCATACTCTTCACTCCAGAATCCAGTACAATGGATTCCCAAGTGTCTGTACCAATCCATGCACCATTCAGCCAATTCCTGAAGTCCAGGACTGGTCAGGACCTGCCATGTTTTTGATCATTTTAACATGTAGGTCAAGACTTAGCAGCCTACAGAAAGGCATCTCCAGTTGGACTCATCTTTACTTACCTTGTCCTGAGTTACAACTGTGGACATACCTGTCCCAGTAAATTAGTTCTTTTTCTTTTGAGTGTCCAGTGATGGAGGTAGAAGGCTTTCCTGAAACAACAGTTGGCCTAAAGTAGCTTAGCACACTACTAATGGTTCGCCCCACTATGGAAATAAACCGGAGCTGGGTGTCTATAGAGCTCGTCTAACGCAGATGAAGTATTTATCTCTGGTTCCATTTTAACACAGTTCTGCAAATGTCCCCAAACCAGAGCCTTGGTACCATCTTTGCAGAACCACAGCAGCTAACCATTTGGCCTGCTTAGCCTGAACTTCTGGCCAGATCACTCCATGACTAATCTCAGTTTCCCCTTTGTGCTGGTACTAGATCCAGCTTCCTGTTTTTAGATTTTGTGAAGATAAACAGTCGGTCCAATACTTCAGTATTCTTCAGATATCATCCAGAATGTTACAGAACATCTCTGAAGTGTTGGAAATCACTGTTGCAGAATAGCATTTCTCAGACTTTTAATGTGCACAGTCAGCTAGGAGATCTGTTACAAAGACTCCTTCAAATTCAGCAGATGTGGGTGGGATCAAGAATCTACTTTTTTTTTTTTTGTACTAGGGATCAAACTTATGACCTCACGCTTGCCAGACAGGCACTTGCTGTGCTGTTGAGCTATGTCCCTGACCATCCATTTTGTTTTCTGTCTTTAAGAATCTACATTTCTAGGGGGCTGGGGATTTAGCTCAGCGGCATAAGCGCCTGCCTTGCAAGCAGGCAGTCGTGGGTTCGATCCCTGGTACTGATAAAAAGGAAAAAGACCAAAAAAAAAAAAAAGAATCTACATTTCTAATTGGCTCCCGGGGGATGCTGGCTCTACAGGTCTGTGGACCACAGTTGAAGTAGCCAGATTAGATTCTTGGCCTTGCTGTGTCTCCAAACAGTCTACTGCTCAATTCTTTTTTTTTTTTTTTTTTTTTTCTGTACAGAGGATTGAATTTAGGATCTCATGCTTGTCAGGCAGGCACTTGTGCCACTGAGCTATATCCCCAGCCTACTGCTGAACTTTTATCTGGAGCATTTTTTAAAAATCCAGGGTAGGGGCTGGGAATTTAGCTCAGTGGCATAAGTGCCTGCCGTGCAAGCAGGCAGTCGTGAGTTCGATCCCTGGTACCGATAAAAACGAAAAAGACAAAAAAAAAATCCAGGGTAGCTGAAGGAGGCATATATGAAAGGGTTAATTTGGGCTGTGTGGAAGGACAGGGTGTGGTGGAGTTATTACTAACACAGCTGTTTACATTCAATTGTAATGAGACATAATTTTTCTGTAAAACAGTTCTGAATCACCCAGTCGTTCCTTGGATTCCTTCCCCAAGGACTCAGCCTCCACTCAGAGGAGGCTGCACCTCTGTCTGTGGCTGGTGAGCCCTCGTCAAGGAAGGAGGGTGTTAAGAGTCACCACTGTTACAGAACAGTTGAACCTAAAGGAAGAAAGATTTACTTTGGCTCAGTGTGAAGTTCCAGGTCCTGGTCAGCTGACTGTAGCCTTTCTGGGCCTGAGATGAGGTGATCATGGTGGAAAGGTGCCAGAGGGCAAAGCCGCTCACTCATGACCACTGGAAGCAGAGGAAGACCAGAGAGCCTGTCCTATGAGCTTTCTCCTGCTTTTGTTCCATCTAGGCCCTCACTCTATTGGATGGTGCCACCCACATTTAAGGCAGCTCTTCCCCATCCACTTGCTGTCCCATGTGCCAGTCATCTCTGAGACCACCCTCAAAGACACAACCGAAATTGTCCTTTACTACTTTTCTAGGTGTTTGTTTTCCATCCAGTCAGGCTGACAGTCAGGAGTGACCCTTACAAGGAGTCAGATCTCAGTCACCACCTGCGTTTTTCACTGACCTAATCACCTGACTTCAGGCATGGGCTAGGGAGGGTGTGCTGAACTGAAAGGAAGCCTAAATTAGGACCTAAATCTCCATCTGGCTTTCTTCCCAGTGCCTCAGCCCCCAGGATTTCCCCTTTGGATCGATGGTCTCCCTAGGACACACAGCCCTCTTACTGACACTTTTTTTTTTCTCTCTTCTGGATCTATAGGCAACTCTGGAAATGCTGCTGCTGGAGAAACCAGTCAGGTTAAAGTGTCATCCTTTAGCAAATTACCACTATGCCGGTAGGTTGCCAGGTGTCCTTATGCTTGTTACTTGAGGGCAGGCTGCTTGTATGTATGGCTGTGTTTCTTCTCAATAACAGACAACACGGGTTCGGTCCTAATCATCACTTGTGACCAAAGCCACTTAAGGGAGGACATAGCTGGTGGGCACATTCCTGTCCATTGCTGTATGACGGTTGGGCATTTGTCTGGGGAGCTCCTGCCCTCATGGGTGTGCCAAGGCCTGGGTGATAGCGGATGTGCCTGGGGAAGCGGTGGCGAGACCTGCACACTGAGGAAAGCACACAGGGTACAACACCGTGACAGCAGTGAGCAGCTCCCATGTCTCTGGCAACGGTAGAGGCGGGTTTGGGTCTTGACTACACCTACTGGCCTTCTGTAGCCTTGATTTTACTTTTTTTTTTCACTGTGAAATAAGGCTTGTATCCCATCGATTTCAGGGATTTTGTGAAGATGATAGGTAGCATATGGAGCCCAATGCATGGCACATCCTGCCAGCTATTGGTATTCATCTATCCAGTTGTGTATACAAAGCAAATACTTTACCATTGAGCTGTAGCAGTGGCTATATGGACCTGGACAGTATTCTGCCTGCAACTTGTAGTCTACAGATGCAATTATTAAATGGTGACTCATTCTGAGAGCAGGAGAAAGACTTCACATATGAGGATCTGGTGAGCATGTAGATTATGGTAGCAGTACCAGTAAGAGGGAAGCGGAAGGCATCTTTGAGGTTTGAGAAGAGTAAGAAGTGTGAAGAGAGAAGGAAGCAGGTTGGGGAGCCTGAGAAGGGACAAATGCAGCCGAGGTCACTGTTTCATTTCCATTAACTCTACTGAGCTGTCCATTCCGAGTCCTGCTGGGTTCTCTGTTTCAGAGGAGCTGAATCCTTCAGTGCCCCTTGACTTTTAATCACTGGAGGGTTTCTTTGGTGCCTTAGGCAGATCCTGCCTAGGTAGGTGCTGGATCTGCTCCCTGTGTAGGTGTTAGATGTGGCCAAAGGTGAGAGCTTCTTTATAGATCACCCCTTGCCTCATTCAGCATGCTCCTCTTCACTCAGAAGTGAGTTTTCCTGCCTGTCACCACCAGTAAAAAGGCCTTGAAGCCACTCAACAAGCATAGCACACCCAGGGCTGTCTATCTTTGGGTCACTTTCAGTAACTAGAACTAGGCAAGCACAGAATGGACAATGGAATAAAAAATCAACCTTTGGACCATGTCCTAAAGGAGGCAACAGTTATGTAACGTAGTCTCTCCATTGTTTCCTGCTTGGGTTTGTCCCAAGAGTGAGTAGGAAGATGTGGGAGCTCTCTTTAATCTGCCATGGATGCATTTGCATCCTCTCTCAATTCCCAGCATCATCTGCTGCCCATTAAATCTGACCAGCTGCCCATCCCCACCCCAAGTGTTTTGCATAGTGGTCAGGACAGTGAGTTGGCAAAAAGCAACATTGCAACCGTGGCCTATGTGATGGGGTGGCTGGAGTGGCCAGAACCTTGGGGCTAGTCACACCCAGCTATGAACAGCTTCATCTGGGACCATTTTCCTTAGTTCTTTCATTGTACCAAACAAGTAGATTATTTTTATTTGCTTTATAATATGAATAGGACTGAAGAGCTATGGATTAGAAGCAAAACAGAAACACCAATCTATTGCCAAGAACTTTGAAACAAGACGATCCTAAACTGTGCTAAAGTAAATTGGCCAGGCATGGTGGTGCATGCCTGTAATCGTAGCACTCAGGAACAGGAGGATCTCGAGACCCTGTCTCAAAAAACCAAAAAGAGGTCAGTTGGTCTTTGGAGGTTCAGCATTCTTAGCTAATCCCTTGCCCATCTCTGGCCCTCTTCCTCCCAGGCAAGAGAAAGACTCTTGCTTTCTGGAATCATTTCAGCCCTGGGAGATCAGAGGTAGAGCTGAGATGTGGAGTTAGCACCTCCAGGAAAAGAATGTTCACATATGCCTTCCAGTCATTTTGCCTTCTCCAAAAAGCAAGTCCAGATAAGGTTCCCAAGAATCTTCTAGAATTGTGAGCAGAAAGGACAGAGGTCACTGGTCTCAAAGTCTGGCCCAACTTCATGCTCTTAACAGATCCCCTCCAAGCTACAGGGAAGGCAACAGTTTACCCCGGCGCGAGTCCAGGCCATCAGCTATTGCCCCCTGACTCACTTATTAGGATCCTGGGTGTCAGTGAACCCCACCTGTCATGGCCCCAGCCTGCCTTGGTCACTCTGTTAGGATCCAACAGGAGCTCCAGTAGGACCGTCCACTCAGTTCCAACCTCACTGTAATGTGACTTCTGAGACTCCTTGGGCTTCTGGTTCTGTGGCTGTGGCTGGTATCACTGCCACCTCATGGCCCTGAGATGGCACCTTATGCTGCCAGTTGCCTAGAAAAAGAGGTCAGATCTGCTGGGCATATCTCTGCCCTGGAGCAAGGGTAGCAGACTGGGCTCAGGGAGAGGGACTGAGGCATGATGGGACAGAGACCCAGGCCTCTAGGAGCCACCTCCTTGTACTCATTACCTCCTCACTGCAGCCCAAGCAATTCCACAGGAAAAGGAAAGTGACAGATGTTGGGACCCAGAAGAGACATGCTAGGGGGATGAAGGATCAGTGCATGGGCAACTTCCAGATCTGAGGGCTGCTTGTCCAGGCCCTGTGGGCCCTGTACAAATCAGAGAAGGGTGCTGCCTCGGTGGCTCCCTGCACTCGGTTCTCTTGCCCCTGTGTGGCTTGTGGTTCCCTGCCATGAGTCCTGGCTCGCACCTGCACTGACTGGGGAAGGGTAGAGCAAGGGTGGTCAGGGTGGGGACGTTCCTCCTTGTGATTGGACAACTTTTGGCAACCTCGGTTTCTGAACTGATCATTCTGCAGGTGGGCACAAAGTGAGGGGTGTTAGATTTGACCCTGGCTTCTTGGCAAGGGCTCAGCAGAGACAGCCAAGGCTCTCAGTGGGTCCTGAAATGCCGCCCTAAAGTCTTGGAGCTGAGGAGACCCTAAAGCAAGCACCTATTCCATGGGGGAGGCCTGGTCTCTGCCTTGGAAGCTGCCCTGGTATGATGAGGGGACCGAGCTCCATACTCGAGAGTACTTGGCAAGGAGCACAGCTATGCTTTCACTTTCTAGTCACTCGTGGCCCCGCTTTAGCTAGACACTGGTTTGTTGCTCTCTTGCCTTGCTTGACATAGCTCTTGTTTAAAAAAAAATTTAGTAGACGAGCTCAAAATACGACCTTAGATTTAGGCCTCCCCTCTTTCTGCCCAGAGGTAAGTTTGGTAGCAACCTGTTTCACTCTGCACCTCCAAAAGACTTACTCAACTTCCACCCACTCTGGAAAATCCTCTTTGGAAATGAAGATCTGGTTCAGAAGCAGCCCTCATTTTTCTGTAATGAACCTGTCTTTCTGGGGTAACTACAACAGTAACATTAATAAAAGTTTGAGGTTTTTTTTTTTTTTTTTGTAATTCTGAAAAGAGCACAGAAAGGTTTTTTAAAAGATATTGTGCCCAAACTTTTCTGTCCCCCTTCCATGTCTCTTTTTAATTGCTTGAGTTCACTGTAGATTGCCCCCAAATTAGCCACAGTCCGGAGCCTGTTTCCCAGCAACTGAAGCACAGAGCATTTTTCCTCTGGATACTGTTCCAGCACCAGTTTCATCCAGTTAATTAGGCTCTTTGTCATTAGCCTTAATCGGCTTGTTAGGGGCCCCTGCTGATAATAGCCCAATAGCCAGGAATCCCAGGTGGAACAAATGAGGCTGGGGGGCTGTCAGCCCACCGACCCCGCATGCCTGCTGAGTGGGCAGCAGGGATCTTACCCAGAAAGGAAGGGCAGAGGGAGGACAGAAGGAGAGGGGAGGATTTGTGCCCACCCCCTGCCTTGGTTTTGCATTTTATGCTGGATTTTGTCCAAGATGCAGAACCAGAGAGCTGGGGTAGAAGCTTGTCTGAGAGTGGGAGAAGTGAGTGCCCTGTCTGACAGCCTTCAGGAAAGAGGCGCCTGAGAATGTCCTTGGCACTGGAGTCGCCGAGGGGTTGAAACTGAGAGCAGGCGCATGAGCCAGCTGGCTTCACAGGGGCTGCTGGGCTCACATCAGAGGGGCAGTGTGTGGTCCAAAGCCCTGGACTGATTTGGGATTGGCTGTCCAAGTGGCCAGAAAAGATCCAGAGCATCTGCTGAGCCACTGTCTCTGTGTTACAGGTGAGGAAACTCAGAGATGTGACTTGCCTGCAGTCACAGAAGGTGTAGATGGGAGAACCACATTCACAGCCTAAGGTCACCTGACTCCCATCACCCTTTTATCATAGTACAGTGGGAAGGCACATTCCAATGTCACTGATCTGTGCTAGGATCCAGCTTAAGAATTGAGTCCAGGGGCCGGGGATTTAGCTCAGCGGCATAAGCGCCTGCCTGGCAAGCATGAGGTCATGAGTTCAAACCCCGGTACCAAAAAAAAAAAAAAAGAATTGAGTCCAGCAGCCCAAGGGTGGGGTCTCAGCTCCTATGAGCAGCCTGAGACAGGAGGCCAGCTCCAGGGAGAGTGAGAAAGATCTAGCATCTCACCTAGCATCTACCTTTCACTCCATGGACTCTGTTGGACACACCTGAACAGAGTGTTGTCACTTGTCATGCAAAGCCTGCAGAACTCCACAGAGGGTGATCTCTTCCTCTCCAGCACGAGCTCTGTGTACCAGGCCTGCAGCCTCAGAGAGAGAGGACGGCACAGAGTGGATGGGGAATGTGCTGCCCACCCCTCTGAAGGTGTGCAGAGAACACACCCTGGGAAGCGGAAGATGCCATCAGAGCAGCACCCCAAAACCACCACAAGTCTCCTTCCCCCATGAGATTTGAGAATCTTCCATACATCTAGGCCAGCAAGTTAATTCACTTTCTGTATGGTTATGGCTGGTGAACCACATGGAAATGACAAAGGGATGTACCTGCACGAAGTTGGCAGACCCTGGAACTTGACTGAGCTACTCTTTGGGCCAGCAGTCAGGTGGCAAGCCTGGCATGGTTGGAAGGAAGAGATAAGGTAGCCCTATAAAGCTGCACCAATATAGGAGACACAGTCTGGGGAAAGTTGGAAAGAATACTCAGTGATCTAGTGGAAGGTTTTTGTCACACAGTGTCTTCTGATGTCCCATCTGAGCTATAACTGAGGGCCACTCCAAACTCCCAGCCCCTCATCCCCCCTGCTGTGGTTTGTTCTGCCAGAGGCCAGCCCTCCAGACTTGTGGAAGATGCTTCCTTCTGCTGAGCATTCTCTGCAAAGCTGCATTTCTTCTAAAAATAAAAAGGACTTTTAGAGCCGCAGTGGCATAAGTGGTATTAGCTCAGTGATATAAGTGCCTGCCTGGCAAATGCAAAGTCGTGAGTTTGGTACCAAAAAAAAAAAAAAGACTTTTAAAAAAAGATAAACTTGCAAATAAAAACTCAGAAATCTGAGTTTACATCACTGAACTACATACTCTGTCATGGATGCTAGGATGTCTGCCAGCAGCTTCAGGAGCTCTGTCCCTCTACAGACGGATTTTACTGATGTCTACCTGAATCTGCCAAGGGAAGAGCCACTTAGGTTCCCTGTACTTCAGCCCTTCGCCTGACTGTGGTGAAATGGAAACCTCAGACCTGCCCTGGAGAGGAGAGAAGATGCTGTGGATCAGGGCTCAATCTCTGAGAAGCTGGTGAATGCCAAGGCCCGGCCATGTGCCATCTGAGGAATCAGATGTGCAGAGTTCAGCAAGCTACAAGAGTGGAGCTTAGATTTTTGAGCTCACAGTAGCTGAACCTTAAAATAGGAGCCCTGCATTAGTTTTGTATTGCTATCATGAAATAGCCAAGTCTTGGGGCTTTATAAAGAGAGGTTTACGTAGCTCATAGTTTTGGATGCCGAAAGTCCGAGACTCTGCTCTGTCGAGGAAGCTGGCCTCTGGCAGGAAACCTTGGCTGCATCACAACATAGCAGTGGAGTCCTGGTGGAAGTGAATGCAAAAGGGAGAAATCAGAGGAGATAGGAAGCCGCAGAGTGACTGAAGAGGGCCAGTTGTGATCTCTGATTGGGCCCCACCTCTTAAAAGTTTTTTCACTTAGTATTGCCATGTTGGACTGCACTTCTAATACGAGAGGGCTAAGAGGATCCATTCAGATCATATCCCAATTATAGGTGCCCTTTAGATGCAGATGTGTCTTGCTCCATATAAGCCCTGGCATTTGTCTCCTGGGTGTCCTTCTTCCTTGTATGGAGGGAAGACACATGAATATCATTTCACCAGAACAGTAGACACGCTATCCCAGTGGTGCAGAACCTCTCCCCTCATCAGTGTGCACATCTGTTAAAAACTGATCCCCCCAGCATGCCTGTAATCCCGGCACGTTAGAAATCTGAGGCAGGAAGATCACAAATTCAAGCCCACCCTGGGCAGTTTACCAACTTAGACCTTGTTTCAGAATAAGAAAGTTAAGAGGGAATGGGGTAGAACCTCCGTGCAAGAGCCCTGGACTCAATCTTTAGTATTGGGGACGGGGGAGACTACAAAAGTACCTTCCAGACTCATTTGCTTCCTTCTGCTGAAACCCTGTATCTGAGCCAACCTGGACTTTGTTCTTAGAAGACCACCATGCACTATAAAATGGGAAATTACAGTACCAGTCTTACAAGGTTGTTTAGTAGAACCTAAATCTCTTAGAATGTGACGTATAGGGAGCACTTCAAATGTGAGCTCTTTCCTGGCCTAGCTCTTGCCTATAGTAGACTCCTAGTGGAAATGTGTTGAATGAATGAGTGTGTAAGGAGCATCATGTCTTTCTTGATTCTTTGCACTTGCTTGTTTCTCACCCCAAAGTTCTCTTCCATCGCTTGCTAGACAAGTTGTATTTTGTGGCTTTAACTAAACAAATCAGCAATTAGGTGTGGGGAGCTGTTCTTATGAAGTTTGTGTTTCATTGTAGGTTCGGACAAGTGGACCTCCTTAGAAAGAAAACTGTTTAATAAAGCACTAGCCACTTACAACAAAGACTTTATTTTTGTACAGAAGATGGTAAGTATGATTTCTCCTATTGCTCACTTGAAGTTAAATTTGAAAAATTGTGTATCTTGAAAGTCTTGGGACTTAGTTTCACATCCTCACCAAAAGGCTTTCTCTGCCCTCACTGGTGAAGGGTCGTGGTTGTTATGGGAGTGGCCCCAGTGTCTGGGGGTAGGGGGAAATGAGGGAGGCAAAGAAGACATAGATTATTTGGATGCTATAGTGTTGGGGATTTCTATCTTAATAAAAATGTATAATTCATAATTCTGTCAGAATAACTAGAGCTTTAGAAGAGCTAAAGCTGGGGCTTCTAGTTCATAATTTGCATAATTTATATCATGTATATTTGACAGATCGATCATGTTTTTGACAGAACTTTTCTGGGAAATTGTGAAGGGGAGGACGCATGACCTCCCCCCATCCTATAGCAAGGTTTCTAGAATTAGGCCCCTAATCATAATGACAGTAATAATATGAACACTTTCTTTTGTGTATAGCATTTTGCTACAAAATAAAACTTTCCTATAGATAAACCATACTGTGTATGGGAAATAATAAAATTAATAGGCTTTAATTGGCTGAGAGGTGGTGTAGACTAAAAAGTTAAAATACTCAGAGTATCTCACCAAGCTGATACATGATGGCACCATATCGATTATGAAGGATAATTCAGAATGTGCAGTATATGAAGAACAGTCATAGGGACAACTTCCATGGCAGCCGGTTGGTCCCCAGTGGTGTTCCAGGGCAGTGTGTCTCCTGCTGCTAATCCAAGGCCTAGCCCAGATGAGCAGCAGAAATCGGTGGATCTGACTTGCCTCCACCTGTAGCCCTGCCTCTGCTCCTGCCTTTCCCTGTCTCTGTGCCCTCCACACCCAGCAATGCTGACCTTACTTGAGTCACCTTTTCCCCAGGCTCAACCTGGTGTGTTTATCAACTTTTCATTAACGCAATATCATACTCAAGGCTGGGTAACTTTGTAAAGAAAAAGGTTTCTTTGGCTCACAGTTTGATCAGGCAGTCTTTGCTGCAGCCTCTAATGAGGGCCCAGTGGCAGGAGAATATGCAGAAGTGAGAGGTTGTACCCTGAGACAGAGCTCTTCAGGGACCTGGCTCACTCTCAAAACAAACTGCTGTCTGGAGAGCCACCTTAGTCCCTCCCAGGGCAGTGTCCTCAGTGACCTGAAGATCTCCACACCTTCTCCTAGCACCCCCAAAGATCAGGCTAATGGACCTTTGGAGAACAAACCACATCCAACCACCTGCTCCCCACCTCATGCCTTGAAGGCCCAACACCTGGGGGCCATGATAAAGTCATGTTCCAGGCAATGCAGATGTCTGAGCAAGGGCACTCTGGGGCAACGTCCTCACTCCTAGGGTAAATCTGGTGTAAAAATTCCAGGTGTTGGGGGTACTACAGAAGGCAGGACTTCTGGTGGTTCCCTTCTCATCTTGCCAGGAAGATGACCACATTTCGGCCCCCAGGGAACCAATAGAAACCTCTCCTGAGCAGGGATACAGGAACTAAACAAAGGAATGTACATCCCTAACCCAAAACCTAGCATCCAAAATGCTCCAAAGATTTTGGAGCTTTTCAGATTAGAGTTGCTCAGCCAGTACAGTCTGTATAGATATTCCAAAACCCAAAAATATCCCGCATCTGAAACACTTTTGAAGTGCTATCTTTGCCTCTTTGGGGATGAACAAGGCTTGTTTTCTGCAAAAGCTAAGTAAGCCCTGGCACTGTAACTTTTGCCTTATATTCCTGTTCTATTACTGAGGAACACTGCTCATAAATAGATTCTGTAGGTGACATCAGAAAGCCAAGCACAGGCAAACACAACAAATGAAAAGGCAGCTGCTTTCGGGAATTAAAAACTGAGGAAGTGCTCTGTGGGTTGGTGACAAACAAAACTCCAGCTCAATCATGACAAAAAATCAAGTTGCAAAACTATTGTGTACTTGCTGCAGCTTGTGAAGAAAGATGGTGTGAGGAGAAGTAGAGATTTGTGCATGCTGATATGCGCCTAAAGAAATTCTGCAGCTGGGCACGGTGGTGCATGCCCGTAATCCAGCACTTACGAAGTTGAAACAGGAGAAATGTAAATTCAAGTCCAGCCAGGCGGTTTAGCAATTTAGTGAGACCCTATCTCAAAAAAAGAGCTGAGGATGTATTCCAAGCAAAGATCCTGAGTTTAATTCCCAGTAACATACACACAAAAGGAATGATACCCAAAGAATTAATAGGTGGAGCTATAAAGAGTGAGAACGAGGTGGGATGGAGGCTTTTTATTGTACCCCCTTTTTAACAGACAGTTTACACACCTGTTACCACTGTTGAAAATTAAATATTCCAAGGAGCTTACTCTGCCTACTGCCAGAGCTAATCCTGCGAGCCTCTCCTACAGGTGAAGTCCAAGACAGTGGCTCAGTGCGTGGAGTACTACTACACGTGGAAGAAGATTATGCGGTTAGGGCGGAAACACCGCACACGCCTGGCAGAAATCATTGAAGACTGCATGGTGAGTGCAGCCACTGACTTTTTGCTTGTGCTGGCTCCACCCCACCACACCTGGGTTAGTGATTGGCTAGTTTTGATTTGGCTTTGCTAGAGGTAGCCAGGTGGCTGATGTGAGGAGGACTGAAGTCCTGCTCCCTGTAGGACTCAAGTCTTGACTTCCTGTTGCAAGTGGAAGTGTACTTGGGTTAGACTTGTAGCACAGTGATTAGTGACACACGTGACAAATGGCAGATGGGAGCCAGGAGAGTGAAATCAGGATGGTCCCAGACTCTACTTGGTTGATTTTTAAGCAGGTGACCTGATGCTTGGAATAGATTCTGGTGATCACAGCATCCCTTAGAAAGATACAGGCATCTGAGGGTTTTTTGTATTTATTGGATTTGGTTTTGAGTTTGGTTTTGGTTTTGAGACAGCGTCTTGCTTTATAATTCAGGCTGGCCTTGAACCCACTACGTAGTCCAGGCTGGCCTTGAACTCATGGCAGTCCTCCTGCCTCAGCTTCCTGAGTACTGGGATTAGAGGCATGTACCGTCACACCTGGCACCCTAGGGGTGCTAAAGTCTCTCTAAAACTTGAACAATAGGACCTCAGTCCCTGAGGACTTGGTGAGCGGCATGCAGATATCCCCAGGGCCTGCATCCCCAGGCAGCCCATCTTAACTTCCTGCGGTAGCAGACGATCACAAGTTACCTGCATGTGAAGTGCACACTAAAACCCTAAGATGGAAATAGTCTCTGATAGTTCTGGTATGGTTTTAGTAATTATTGTCACTCATGGTTAGCCTTGTCCTCCTCTCCCTCCTCTCTGTATCCGAAGAGAAGTGTCCTTGTCACACTTTGTGAGAAACATTCTGGACATTCAGGGTAGACATCATTGCCTACAACTAATTACTGAACTCTGCCCTCTGCCCCACCTACAGAAGTGTTCACATTCATGAATATTTGCATTTATGGTGTCATTCCCTGCATGATGTTAGCACATAGGTTATTTTCTTTAGCAGATACTTAAGTAGTACCTGCTAAGTGCCACCATTGTCTGGGCAGCTTATAACCACTGACTCATCTAATCCACCGCAATGCATTGAATGCCAGTTCCCCCAAAGTAGGAAACTGAGACAGAGCCTAAGCCTGAGTAAGCTGGCCACAGCCACACAGCTGGGGAGTGTGCTGCCTGAGCCCGATTCTTCTGTTGTACTGCAGAGCAATCAAAATGCAAATTCACTGGGAGAAGTGTAAAAGCACATGGACTCATTCCTGCCTCAAAGCCTGAGCTCTCAGCTCAGCATCAGTCCCAGCTTCAAATATGCACAGTGTATTTTTACATTTGAACTCAAGTGTTAGAATAGAAAGTTGCAGGGTAGAATGGCATTGCTATTTGTTAAAATCAAAGATGGCTGTATTCTATATTCTGTATGGAGGACGCCTGTGACCGGGCTTCAAGTATCAGCCGTTTATATCAGAGTAACCTTTTGCTCATGGGTGGCCTAATATTTAAAAGAACAGCATGGCCCCCTCAGGTTCAGTCAGCTAAAAGCGCTTGTGTTCCCACAATGTAAACAGCAATTTGTAATGGATATAAACAGCAAGGATGTTAGGTGGTCTCTGCCTTCTTGCCCCCTGCCACCCAGAGGATATATCTAGTTAGGACAATGGGATACAAGTAACAACTTACCCTTGAACCCCAAGAGCATCTGAGAGCAGTATGAGAAACAGGAAGTCCTAGACAGCTTAGGGTCACTCATCAGTTCCACCATTTCACGGGCGGACGCAGCCTGAGGCCCAGAGGGGCACAGGCTTGCCTGGGCTCACAGAGCATTGCTGGGCAGATAGATGCAGCTCGGCCAGTGGAGGAGAGAGCGCCGTGCCCTGGGCCTGCAGAACCATACAGTGGGGCAGATGACTTTGGGGGTTCAAAAAACCCCTCCCAATTCTGAATGCTCTGGGCCCTATCCATGCCATGTTTGCAACAGGGCAGAAACAGAAGATAAGGTCTAAGGCCATTTTGTACCTCTCTGGCATGGTTGTCACCAAGTGCCTAGGACAATGCTTGGCATAACTCTGCCAGTGTCTGGTCATGAGTGGGTGGACATCTTTATCAGCAGGGGGTCAGTCTGGTTATTAAGAGCATCTCATCTCTGAACTCACTGGGGAGAGATGGAATGAACAGGGAATGCAGAGCCGGAGGCCGCTCGGGAGATGCTGTCACATGAGCAGAGACATCTTGGTTGGTGGGTTTCAGAAAGGCCCAGACCAGTGTGTAGCCTCCAAGGACAGGAGGTGAAGGTGATGGCCAAGGCCACACCTTCTGGGCTCGCTGTCCAGGAGCCAGCATTGAGTGGCATCAGGAGGATCCACACCCTCGTCACTGGTGAGCTTAGGAGTGCAGGAAGCTTCTGTGCAGAGATGACTTAGCCCGCAGAAACAAGGAGGTCTTGATGGACGAAGGCCAGCCAGGAGCTCCTGCCTCCTCCTGGGCACTGTGCACACTGTCAGCCACTGGGCGTTCTGTGTCCAGTCAAGATGAACATTGGGACATCTAGGAAGGTGCAGAAGGGACGAGGTCCTGCTCGCTGTCCCCTGGGCCAGCCCGGGACAGCTGAGACAGCTCTCCTGATCACTGTCCTTGATGCTGTATTAAAGGGCAGCTGAGGGCCTGGGGATTTACTTCAGTGGTGCAGAGTAGTATGAGGTCCTGAGTTTAATTCTCAGCAGCCAAGGCAAAAAAGGATTCTAAAGGGCAGTGAAGGCAGGCATGGGGGTGCACCCCTGTTATCCCAGCACATTCAAGACAGGGGCAAGGAGTACAAAAGGCTGAAGGCTTAGCTTAGCGTCAGACCAGGCAGGCTGTGACTCTACCAACTGTGTGAACATGAGAAAGCTTTCTCTGCCCGATCTCCTCATTTGTACAGGGTGGTTGTAAGAACTAGGGGTGTGTGTACGTGTGTACATGTGTGTGTACATGTGTGTGCGTGCATGTGCGCTTGTACATTGCCTCCTTCATACCATTTATTTAGTACACTGTTGTCTGTAATGCTCAAATTCGTTTTCTGTTTTTTGGATTTTGTTGGCATTTTGTTTGTTTGTTTGTTTTTTGTTTGTTTTTGGAAACAAGGTCTCGCTGTGTAGTTCAGGCTGGCCTTGATCTCATTTTGTAGCACAGGCCGGTCTCAAATTCACAATGATCCTCCTGCCTCAGCCTCCTGAGTGCTGTCAAATTTGTCTTTGAGCAGATTAGAGTTGTTAAATGTTCATTCTAGTTTCTCACGTTAGTTTCTCATAGTGTAAATTACATTTGCATGCCTGAGAAATAAAATGTCATCCCCCTCAAGAAAGTCTGTGGACACTAGATGTTTGGGCACTGTGTTATATACACAGCCTCCTTCCTGCCTTGTATTTACCCACTTTGTACTGATTTTGGGATATTACTAAACGTTTCATTTTACAGCACATCATAAAATGAACAACTTGTTGATACAAAGCTCTACATGTTAGGATTTTTGTCCTCCTATCTTTGTATCTCTTAGTCATTTTGTGAGCCATATGGCTTGATGATAAATCATTTTGTGAATGTGTAGAGATTGCCAGTTGAAATACAACCTATCTAAATTCCCAAGATATGCATATTCAGTACAGAATAATCTACAATTTTGTGGGTACAGGAAATGTTTCTTTTAAGTTTTTAACCCCAAGAATGGCATTATAAGAAAATTATAAAAGTACCATGAAACAAAGAGTATGGTCATTTAAATTTAGTTCATTTTCAAACCTGGCCTGCAACTCCAACACTCAGGAGGCGAGGCAGGAGGATCATTACAAGTTTGAGACCAGCTTGGACTACAAAGTGAGCTTGAGACAAGCCTGAACTGCATAGTGAGAATCTGTCTCAAAAAGACAAAATAAGTAAATTAATAAATTTAATTCATTTTCAGTGCAGAGCTATAGATCATGGTCTACTTAATATCTGAGACCACAATATCCCAGTTTTTATTTTTATTTATTTTTGAGACAGGATCTCACTATGTAGCCCAGGCTGGCTTTGAACTCATGGTGATCCTCCTGCCTCAGCTTCCCAGATGCTGGGATTATTGACGTGTGCCAGCATGCCTAGCATGACCCAGCTTTTTAAAGAAATGGGAAAAGCTTTCAGAATTTGATGTGACTTGGTTTTGCCCGAACCTCTTGGTCTGAAAGATGGAGTATTCCTGTAGTCATAAAGCCATCGAACTGGAATCAGCCCACATGCTATATATGCAAAGAAGTCTGCACGTACGTGATACACCACTGTAAACAGGATCATGGCTAATTAACCTACTGGAAAACAGAACCATTTCTTAAATCTGCCTTGCAGATTTAAGTGTATGTGTGTGATGTCATGGCTGATAGCACCGGATCTGTGTGAAGTGCCAGGTACCCTACACTGACTGGCATTGTCTCTCTCACGTATACACCCCAAGCCGAAATGGGGGAGAAAGCCACATGACCTGTCACAGCAGAGGCAGTGGGTACACCTAGTGTTTGCTCCTTTGTAAAATGGGAGGGTTGTATACAGCCTTGTTCAGTGACACAGTGAGTGTGAAAGCGTTTTGTAAGCATAAAATACGAGCTGCCACCCAGAGAGTATGCTGCAGGGTCCCTTCCCAGTCCTCAGCCTTTCCAGGGCCTAAGGACAGCAGAGAGCTCCGTGGGTAAGGAGAGGTGGGTGAGGCTCTTCCATCCTGCACTTGTCCAGGCCTCCCCAACCCCACTCCATGCTCTGTCCTGTCCCTTGCACTGGATTATCCCCAAGAGAGGGGTGGGACCTTCTGCTCCATTCTGCTCAAGGTTCCCTTGCTGCCATAGAGAAAGTCATTGAGAGAGCAGTGGGTTTCTTGTCTTTTTTTCCAAAATGCCTCTAGGGGGAGAATATGAATATAGAAACATAGACTAGACTTTCTCCAAATCTGTGGTCAGAGACAAAACAAAGTGCTTGTGGTAAGTTAAAGGGAAACTTCCCTCCTTTCCCTGCTTCTTTCCAAGAACAGCAGAGTAGGGACTTAAACCATGGGGCACATCAGGCATCGTGCCCGGGGATATATTCTTAAGCCTCTGAACCAGCCAGACTGATAGTGCACCCCAGTAACCCCATCACTGGAGGGATTGAGTTCAAGGCTTCAAAGTGAGTTCAAGACCAGTCTGAATTGCATAGTAAGATGCTGTATAAAAAAGCAAAACAAAACAAAAAGCCTGCCAGCCAGACCATAATGTGCCTCAGGTTTCTCCCCAGAGGGGACTTCCAGCACTGTCACTGCTTGAGAGGCATGAACACACACACACACACACACACACGCACACACACACACACACACACACTGCTGGGACCTGTGGCCTGGCCAAGGGTTAGTCATTTGTATGGTCTAATAGTCTTGAACAAGGCAGAGAATCTTTTTTTTTTTTCCAGTCCCAGAAATCAAACTCAGGACCTTGCACTTCCCAGGCAGGTGTTGTACCACTGAGCTAGATCCCTGGCCCACAGCAGAGAATCTACCTACAGAAATCTGTCCTGTAGTCGAGCTTGGTGGCACAAGCGTTGTGAGAGGCTGAGGCAGCAGGAAGATCACAAGTTCCAGGCCAGTCTGAGCAACTGAGAGACTCAGTGAGACCCTGTCTCAAAATAAAAAATAAGTCCCCAGTACAAAAACAAAACCAAACTTCCCCCTCTCTCATTAGCATTGTTTTAGGACAAGGGATGAGGGGATCCAAAGTATGGCAGGAGGACTTCTTGACTTCAAAGTCTAAGTGTCCCAGACCAGCCTTTAAGAAACTGAGCCCTGCAGGCTGCCAGGAGTTCTTAGGCAGAAAGAAAGTGACACAGCACCACTCTCAGTTCTAGGAGCTGAAGAGTTTTGTCTCCACTAAAAATGCTCTCTGGGGATTTCCCCATTCTTGCTTTTATTAACATTAGACAAGTGAAGAGGAAGAAGAGTTTGAGGAGGAAGAGGAGGACCCGGAAGAAGATAGGAAATCCACAAAAGAAGAGGAGAGTGAAGTACAGAAGTCCCCGGAGCCTCCGCCAGTGCCTCTCGCGGCTCCCACCGAGGGGCTATCCCTGCAGGCCCCTGGCCAGCCCTCGGGCGCCTTCGTCTGTGAAATGCCCAACTGTGGGGCTGTAAGTGTGTGTGTGTCTTCCGGGGCTCAGGGATGAGTGAGGGCTATGCACATGTGCCAAGCTGCAAGCGATGACGCATTTGCGAGCGATGACGCATTTCTGAAAGGATGCACGTCAGCACTGATGGCTCTATATTGCACACCTGGCTGGGCGTCCCCCAAGGTCACACCCTGTGGACGTGTGTTAAAATGCACCCAGGGAGCCCAGAGACAGGAGCATCATGAGACCCCCACCCCACTGCCTGAAGTTTGCCTGCCTGGAAAGTTTTGCATAAAAGTGTGACTAACTCAGATGTCACTGATTTGAAATTTGAGAAAGTTGTTACAAAGGTTAACTCAAGTTTGTCCTCTGTGGGCTGAAAAGATGTACTAAGGAAACCGAACATGTCGGTAGCCTGAGAGAACCCGTCAGCCCTGGAGGGAGCCTTCCAAAGGCTCAGGGCCTGTACATGGTACAGAATGTGATCAAAGTGGCTTCCACTGGGCTCCCAGGACACCCCCTCTTGCCTGCTAATCTGGATTGGTTTCTTAAAGCTGGGCACATCTGCATAGACAAACTCTCCAGCACTCCCTAATGGGGTGCTACTGTTCTCGCAGGAGGCCCCGCTTCCTCAAGCGCCTCTCTTGTCTTTGCTTGTATAATGTGGCGTGTGTTGAATGCTGCTTATTGACCCTGTCACACAGATGAAGACAGCAAGCATCTGTAAAATATCCATATCCTTGCCAGGTGTGGTGGCACATGCCTCTCAGTTCGAAGCCCTTGGGCTTAGTCTAATATTGAAAAAATGGAAAAGCAAATATTTATATCTTAAAGCAGAAATTCTCTTTATATACATTTAAGAAAAAATTGAAAACGGCAAAAAAAAGACGTGTACCTTTGTATAAAGATGTGTCACCTCTGAAGAGAATCTAAGTAGTCTCTAGCTGGTTTCCATCCCGGGTGTTTAGTGGCCTGGCCCTTCACTCTGTAGTGCCATCTTGCATAGGGCACGTTAGGGATGATTAAGATGTGACTTTCTTTTTGTCTTTTTGAGACAAGGTCTCACTATGTAGTTCAGGCTGGCCTTGGGCTCACTTTGTAGCCCAAGCTGGTCTCGAATTTGCAATGAGCCTCCTGCCTTGGCCTACCGAGTACTGGGATTACAGGCATGTGCCGCCATGCCTAGCTTAAAATGTGACTTTAAATGACAACATTTCGTGGTAAATTTGTTCAGAAACTGAATGCTTTCCCAATACACAGTTGTAACATATACTAAATTTTTTTGCTGGGCAGAAAATTACCTTTTACCTTGCCCAATCAGAAATGCTCAGAGAAGTAGATCAGTTTTAAAGACTTTTAAAATCATGCTGGGGCTAGGAATTTAGCTCAGTGGCACAGCACCTGCCTGGCAAGCACAAGGTCCTGAGTTCAATTCCCGGTACCAAAAAAAAAAAAAAAGGAAAGAAAGAAATCATGTGTTTTGTTTCTCATGTAACATTGAAGTTGATGGTTGCTAAATTAATGATAGAATTTTTTTCTCTGTAAAACAAGAGACAGCTTATGAGCTGAGCACAGAGCACCTTTCCAGCCTGGCAGTTTGTGGGCCAGCCCCTCGGCCTACAAGGTTAAGGAGCTGGTTGCTCTGGGGATCCGGGGTGTGAAGTGCAGTGGTTCTGACCTAGAGAGCTTTGTTCTCCCAAGAGCATTTGGCAGTGTGTGGAGACATTGTTGGGAGGGCTGCAGAGGTGCCATCTGGTAGGCAGAGGTCGGAGACAGTGTCAGACACCCTGCAGCACACATGACAATCCCCACTACAGAGAACGGCCCAGCACCAAGTGCTGAGGCTGGAGATGGTACTGTGTGGCGGTCTTCAAAACCCTGCCCAGGCCCTTCCCCTTTTACCACTTTATTAAAATGTGGGAAGGGCTGGGGATTGAGCTCAGCAGCACAGATGCCTGCCTGGCAAGCACAGTGTCCTGAGTTCGAGTCCCAGTACTAAAAATACAATATGGGGGTCCTGAGCGCTACCTTAACAGTGGGCTGCTGGGCTATCGGTATAGTTGAGTAGTAAGCACTTCCCCAGCGTGCAGGAAGCTGTGGGTTCCACAAAAAGGAAAGAAAGACAGGGTAAAAACAGTGGGCCATGATAGAGTCCGTAGCATGCAGCCTACCTCAGAGCATGTAGTCCGTGCTCCTTGCTGCACTTGGCCTCCTTTTCAGCTGGGGAACCTCTGCTTGTGACCTGAGTTCTGACTAGACCGAATTTGTTACTAAAGTCACAGGCAGGGAGGGAAGGAATGGGTTTGCAGCTTTAAACAAACTTCGATACAGTGATCGATGCACAGCAGCGTTTACAGCATAACAGTTGGCAATAGCTAAACTTTGGAAGTGTCCTATGTGCCCATTCACAGGAGAATAGAGAAAGAAAATGTCACGTATTGGGCTCCTACTGTGACGTAAAGACGGACAAACTTCAGTCATTCATTGGAAAATGAGTGCACCTTGCCCACAATGCTAAGATGAGCTGTGCCACGCATAGATGGTTAAATATCACATCGTTTCTGTTACATGAGAACCCTAAAATATGAATGACTTAAAGAGCAAAATGGTGGGAACAAGGAGATAGAGGGGGATCTGGGAATGAGGAGATGAGGGCAGGGAGGGGAAAGGAAAGGAAGGCTGGGTGGGATGCAGTGTGTGTGTGCCTGCCCCCAGAGGGGTGCTGTGTTGGCAAAGATACAGGAAAAAAAAACAGGCGTTTTGAAAGCTAGTCCATCCCCTCTTACTGTGCAGATGGCAAACAGTGGGGGAAGTAGCTAACAGCCTCCCCCTTAGGCACAGGAAAGCAGGCACTGGACGCCTTGTCTGCTGACTTCAAATGGCAAGGCAGAGCTGGGTGTGGTGGCGCACACCTGTAATCCCAGCGCTTGGGAGGCTGAGACAGGAGGATCACCGTGAGTTCAAGGCCGCCCTGAACTACATCATGAGACCCTGTCTCATAAAACAAACTAAAGGACAAGATGGAAGGTTGCGTATTTAATCTTCACCCTCTGTGGTACCTGCCAGAGTCGCTTTGATAAAACCGTGCCCGTGTTTACACTGTTGTATATGTCCCTGTTTCACAACCAAGTGACTAATAACCCTAATTTCCTTTTCAGGACTGTAGATGTCATGTCACTCCCTTTCTCCCCCAGGTGTTCAGCTCCCGACAGGCACTGAACGGCCACGCCCGCATCCACGGTGGCACCAACCAGGTGGCCAAAACCCGCGGAAACGTCCCCTCTGGGAAGCAGAAGCCCAGCGGCGCCCAGAGTGGGTACTGCTCAGTGAAGAGCTCACCCTCCCACAGCACCACCAGCGGCGAGACAGACCCCACCACCATCTTCCCCTGCAAGGAATGTGGCAAGTAGGTGACGCGCGCCAGGGCCAGGGTGCAAGCTCAGGGCCTGGGCCTCTGCTGGGGCTGGGGAGCTAGAGGAGGACTCCAGCTCCCAGGCTCCCCTTCCTGGTGTCCTTGGGGTCTGGAAGGGCACTGCCCTACGCCTCAGAATGGGACACTGGTGTCACTCTGTGTCCTTCCTGAGTGATGTCAGGTGGCCCTAGAGCCCTGACCAGGAGTGCTCTGGAGCAGAGACACTTAAGCTGGGCACCCAGCCTCGCTGCTCAGCCCTGCGTCCTGCAGAGAGCACTAATCAGCCACTGCACTCTGCGGTGGCCTTAAGACAGAGCCACAGACCCTCTGTATCATAACCCTCTCAGGGTTTGCTTTGAGAAAGCCCCGTGCCTATTTTACCCTCTCCTGTGTCAGCCGGCTGGTAGGGTGCACTCGTGAGGTCTCCCTGCCCTCTTAAGTCAGGGTTAAATAGGGAGGGCGCTGGCGACAGGTGGCAGTAATAGCAGTCCAAGTTCCTGAGCACTCCCTGTGCTGCTGCTGTGTGTGCGTGAACGCATTGATCCTCACACAGAAACTCCCATGTGGTGTCTGCCGGCTTACAAAAAAGAGCGAGGAGCCAGGTGGTGGTGCACATCTGAGATCCCAGCGCTCTGAAATGCTCAACCTGGGCAACTTAGAGAAACCCTGTCTCAAATGAAAACAAGAAAAGGCTTGGAGGCGGCTCAGTGTGACGGACCTGGGTTCAATTCCCAGTGTCCAAGTGCTGAAGGAAAGGAAAGATAAAAAATAAAATTTAAAAAAAAGTTAAAGGATGAAAGGCTCATTTCAACTCAAAAAAAAAAGAAAGAAAAGGAAAGACATAAAGTCAGGTGAAGTGCCTTGCCCCTGGGCACACTGCCAGTGGAAAGGAGTTTTAAACCCAGCTTTGGTTCCTGTTGCCCTGTCCTCTCAGTTTGCTTGGTTTACTCACTTTAGGAAGGAGATAGGGGTGGTGCGATGCCTGGCTTCCAGGAGAGAATTCCATTTCCCTCTCTGGGTCGCCTGCCCTGGAGGCCCTCAGATCCCATGGGCCCCCCTGTGGGACCTTTGCTCCCATAACCTCAGTGCTTCAGATGTACAAGACCGTTATCGGGGGAGGCCCAGGCCTTCCCCCCGGAAGGTGTGAGAGCTGTGCCTCCACATCCTTAGGGACTCGACTGGACCACTTGACAACAGCCGCTGCAGTTCCCTAATGCAGGTCAGAGGTGGCCCCTGCAGTGGGTGCCTCAGGCCCAGAGCTGTCCTCCCTTCTTGAGCGCAGGGATAGAGAGATTAGTGTAAGTCTCCCACTCTGTGCCCCGCAGTCACTCAGAGCCTGGACACCACAGCATCTTGACGTCACCCCCCACTACCTGTTGGGGAAGCATGGAAGGAAGGGGCACTGCTTGCTCTAGGCCGTTTTACTAGCGGCAGCAATGCAGCCACACTCCCTCCCACCTGCTGTCCCGGAGGAGCAGGGCAGGTGCCTTCCCCTTCAGGTCACGCAGGCTACAAGTTTATTCCACCAGGTGGGGACAGAAGATATTTTTACACAAGTGCGAACAGGTCAGGCACTTGAAACTCTGAAACCTGAAATGCTCCAAAATTGGAAACTCCTGGCGCATCAACACAGTGCCACAAGTGGAAAATCCACTCCCTAAAACTTTGCCTCGTGGGCAAAATTATTATGAGCTATCACAAGGGGGTGGGGATTTAGCTCAGCGGCATAAGCACCTGCCTTGCAAGTACACAGTCATGAGTTTGATCCCTGGTACCAAAAAAATAAAAATAAATAAATAAATAAAAATTAAAAAAGAGGGGGGCTGGGGATTTAGCTCAGCGGCGTAAGCACCTGCCTTACAAGCAGGCAGTCGTGAGTTCGATCCCTGGTACCGATAAAAAACGAGAAAGACCAAAATAAATAAATAAATAAAGAGAGCTATCACATAAAATTGCCTTATATAAAGTTATATGAATCAGATGAATGTCATGTTTAGGCCTGGGTGCCAGCCTCGAGGTACCTGTTATATACGTGCAAATATTCTGAAATCTGAGGCACTTCGGTAAGGGAGCCTCAGCCTGTATTTCATACTGAGAGGAAAGCATGAGTTGAGAAGTATGTGTGTAGTATTTTTTTTATTTTTATTTTTATGCTGCTTGGGTTCTTTTTCTACCAGAAGTTCCGTTAGTATCCAAGGTAAAGTAGAACGCTGTACGTGGTTCTAACACCCAGCAGGTGTTCACAGAGTGTCTCCTGCGGCTGCTGGTACATTTATTACATAAGCAGTTCATCACCCCTGTTGACCTGGGCCTTAGAAATCAGGTCTTGATATTTTTTCAGTTTGTTCATTCTGTTTTTCTTTCTGAGCTAGGAAGTCAATGTGGAATATTTATGCAAACACCTCCTCCCTTAAGTACAGTCTCAGTCTCACATCTGGGCAGACTAGTTCTGAAAATAGCCAGAGAGTAAATATGAGAAGCGTGGTGGGCCTGCTGCCTCTGTCTGAACTACTCATCCCACACTGTAGTGCAGAAGTGGCTGTCACAGTGTGCAAAGAGACAGATAGGACCGTGTCCCAGTAGCGTTTTCTTCACAAAGAACGGGCGAGAGGGGCTGGGGATGTAGCTTAGCCACGTAAGCGCCTGCCTGGCAAGCGTAAGACCCCAAGTTTGATTCCCAGTACAAAAAAAAGTCTAGATTTGATCCACAAACCAAAGTTTACAGGAACCTGATCAAAAAAACCCCCAAAATATGGCATCTTTTTTCCCAGCATTGTTTAATCTCAGCACTGTTACATTTTAGGCTTAATAATTCCTAGTCTGGGGAAGAGGAACCGTACTGTAAGTGGGGCATATAACAGCATCCCTGACCCCACTTAGTATCAGAAGGACATCTCCCTCACTCAGCCGAGACCACCAAAACTGTCCCCCGACATTGGCAGACATCCTTCGTGAGGGTATGCCCACGCAGAGCTAAGACCTACTTCCATTCTGAGGCCCAGAGAAGGAAACTATGATAATATTATGGCTCACAGCAAGCTGCCTTCTGCAACAAGAAGGGTGGGTGCAGCTCAGGAGTCCAGCCCAATAAAGACAAGAGACAGGAGCAGGCCACAGCCTTGCACACCTGCTTTTGCAGTACTCTGGGAAGCTGAGACAGGAGGATCGAATGTCTAAATCCAGCCTGAGCACCTTAGAGATTTAGTGAGCCCTGACCCTGTCTCAGAACTTTAAAATGGGGATGTAAGTCAATCCCTAACACCACAAAAAAGAAAAACAGAGAGTGACCGTTGGCGTTGGCCATGTAAGATTATCAGTGACCTCAAGGAGGGTTCTGGGATTGAAGTGGAGGGAAAAAGAGGCTGACAAGCTGGGAGAAAAGGGGACGCCACAGTGTGTGCAGGCACATCCTCCTGCACCCTCCACAGAGGAACAGGGCTAGGGCCAGGGCGCGGCTGGCTTGCTGCATACACGGCCTATCAGAGTTCTTAGCATTTCTGGGGATGCTCCGGTGGAGAGCAGATGGGGAAGGTGGGCAGAGGGCGGGGGCTGGAGGAGGAGGAAGATGGAGAGCTCCAGACTCCAGAGGGACAAGAAGGCCTTTGAGAGGGACTCTGCCATTGCCACACCAGTCCCAGGGTCCCCACCCCTCTTCTTCGTAATGCTTAGAAGAGGTGACAGGTCACAGCAGGAGGTGGTCCTGGGATTCTGTTAGACATCCCAAACTACCATCCAGCCTGCACCCCCTGCCCTGTAGGACACTAGGATTTTCAGGGACTCCATCACTTGCTGCTTTCTTCCTTTTTAGGGTCTTCTTCAAGATCAAGAGCCGAAATGCGCACATGAAGACCCACAGGCAGCAGGAGGAGCAGCAGAGGCAGAAGGCCCAGAAGGCAGCCTTCGCGGTGGAAATGGCGGCCACCATTGAGAGGACTACGGAGCCAGCAGGGCCGCAGAGGCTGCTGCCCCTGGGCCAGCTCGGCTTGATCAAACCCATCAAGGACGTGGACATCCTGGACGACGATGTGGTCCAGCAGTTAGGAGGCGTCATGGAAGAGGCCGAGGTCGTGGACACCAATCTGCTCTTGGACGACCAGGACTCGGTCTTACTTCACGGTGACACGGAACTCTAACGCCTCGTGGCTGCTTCCAGACGACGGTGGCTAGAACTCACAGCCTCCCTCCTCACGAATCAGGAAACCTGGACTGCCCATTTGTTTTGTAAACCCTTTTAAACTACCTGTTTAAAAAGTGGTCATTTTATTCAGGTTTAGGAAAAAAATCCAGTTTCTTCTCCTTTTAGTTTCTTAAATTGTTTTTGTTGGGGCTTGGGGGGAATGAGTAATTGGCACAACTGTCTTTAAGAGGTGTTTCATCTGGGCTACGCCCTCATGAAACAATTGTCATTCCCCCTGGGGAGTGACCCTGATATTCATGTTCCAAGTTGCTCTCAGATGTCAACCGTCCTGGTTGCCTTCCATCGCAAAGCTTGCTGGGAGAGAGTGTGTCCGTGTGTATACGTGAGGCAGGCACCTTCTTCATGCTGGGGCCCAGGGTCAGCTTCTCCACCTGGAGTTAAGTTTTTTCTGTTCTGACCCACCAGGCACTGTTCCTTTTCCCAACAGAATAGCTCAGAAGAGCCTGTTCCTTTGTTCTGCCCGGTGGAGATCTAAGATTACTTTGTGCCACTTGGATGTCCTCTGAACCCTCCTTCGCTGGACTTGGCTGTCGTTCACCCCTAGAGTGACGTTTATCTAGAGGCCAGCCATGAAGGATGAGAGTTTTAAAACTAGGACACAAGGACGGCAAATACAAGGGAAATTGCATTGAGGCCGACAGAAGTGGTTTCAGATACACGTTAGCTACTATCTTGCATTCAAACCATGAATGTATTCTCTCCCAGTCACTTGCCAAAGCATTTCTAGACTTTGCTCAGCTGCTAAGCTACACAACTGCTCTGCCACCCCCTGCCTCCGCAGCAGGGCCGCTGTTGGTACTTGAAGGCAATAAACCTGTCATCCTTCTAAACCGTCATTGCCCGGGCTTCTGACCTGGGTCCCACCCGCCTGTCCCACTGTGGGTGCAAGTCAGCCTGGGCACAGCCCCACGCAGAGAGGCCCCCGCTGTTGGCTCCCTGTCAGTGTTAATGCTGCGTAGCCCCTGCTCGCAGGCGCTGTGCTCCTGAAGTAGACTTGTTCCTGGCCCCATGGCAGTGGTGCTGTCACCCTGGGTCACTGGGCTGGCACAATGACAACCTTAGACTCTCGGCAGAGGCAAAGGTAGGACCTGGACATCCTTTAATTCAGCTCTGCAAGAGCATTTAGCATGCAGCCCCCAGGCAGTGGTTCCTGAATCTCAGGGAAGCCACAGACAACAGAAAGATAGATTCACTCCATTTCCGTTCTTTTGTTATCCGAGAAGTTGTCTTGGGGATTTCTTTCATCTTCCCTCTAGGAAAAAAATAGTAATTTGCTGCCATTTCAACGGGTTGCTCTGTCTTGTTTTCAAGTTTTTGGTTAGGAACTACCCGGGCGCCCTGCGCCAGCTTCTGGCAAAACTATCCCAGAACCTTTCCAGCTGCCAGGTCAGTGGCTGCTGACCAGCCTCCTCCCTGCGGTGTCTGAGGCCGAGTCCTGACGACTGGCACAGCAGCAGATGCCCAGCAAATGCTGAGAAAGCACATTTCCTCTCATTGGGAAATTTGGCCAGTTCTTCCAGTTGTAAGCATTAGAGATACGTTGAGTTGTCACAGCAAAAATAAGATTCTCAGTTTGATTTTAATTTTCCATGCAGTATAGTGTAAGGCTCTCTACTTGAAATAACCAAAGAACTCCTCCATAATGAGACAGTTCGAATTACCTGAATTAGTATTTCTCAACTATCAACTTTAAAAATTGACTTCCCACGATACGTTGCACTTGCTGTTCCCGAAGCAATTCTGCCTGCATGTCTGTGTTGTGTTGCAAAGCTCTCCCCACAGTCCGCCCCGCAGAACTTCCCTTCCTGACTGTCCACGTCTTCACCATGGTTACTGTTTACGATCAGATGGTTTTTCATTCGTGAATTTAGACCTCTTCGAGAAAGCTTGTACATAAAAAAGTTAACAGATATATTTTATGGAAAAACCCATCTTATTTTCAAATATATTTAACTGCTGTTATATTTTATTAGAGGAAGGTTGTAAATATTTTCTAGGAGTTCTATTGTAAAGAAAAGTATTTTTGAAAAAAATTAATGTAATAAAAAGGAAAACATTTTTAAATAGCGGTTGTGATTCCTTCCTGTTCTGGCTTCGTTATGTTCTATTCTCAGCAGATGATTCGCATGCCTTCCATATTGGGATGTAATTTATTCAGGTTTGCACTATTATGTAAGTTGACATCATAATATCTAGTGTGCTTAACTGTATTTTCCTGGAATGCAGGTCCCTTGGTCCATATCAAAGCACTATGTATAGCATATTCATAATTTTTCTTTTGTAATGTGTGTATTTTTAATAAGGATTTTATGTAACATTTTGGCAAAAAAAAAAGTATTTTCTAGTGAATTTTATAATAACATTTTGCTAAAAATGTTTCTTCCTAGGTCAGTTTTTGTTAAGGTGAACCAAAAGTCTTATTTTACAAGGGGTTTGAAAAAGTTTGAGGCTTGAAAGCAAAGTTATATTTAAACACCATATGTAACAAATAAATAAAGATGTTTTATAGACTTGTCCTAAAAAGGCGCATTCCTTAAAGAACAAAAAAAGAAAAACTGGGGCATTCTAGATTGTTTCCCATCCTGGATGTTAAGGATGTTTAAAAATTATCATAATACTTTTTTCAAGAAGGAAATCAGAATTTTAGTTAGGTTCCAGTTATACGGCTTCTCAGAAATTGATTACAGTTCCTATAGGCGGGGCATTCTTCAGAGAGAAATGTAACCAAATACACACTGTCATATTTATTTGTGAAAACCTGATTCAATATTGCATCAGCTGCTCTGAAAAATAAAATCTTAATTTTGAGTTTCGCCTGGTTTAAATATTCCTTTTTTTCTAGCCACTGAACTGACATCCTGGTGCTGGATCAAGGCCCATTTGCCTGGTATCGATTCCTGTACACAACAGGAGGTTTGCTTAATCAAACTTAAATCTCATTAAATTGCCCCCGACACACACCCCAGAAGCCTGGACACGCTCCTTGCCCTTATGTGGAAGGTGAGCTGTTTAAAGACAGCCCCGTACACCACGCCACTCACACCCCTCTCTCACTCTAAGAGGGGTCTTAAGGAAGCTGTCTACATTGTGTGTTCCGCCTGGTGTAGGTAGGTTGTCAGTCTGAATTTCCAGATTTTCCTGTGCTTTACTTTTTTAAATAGTCAACAGTGAACTGTAAAAGAAATATGAAACTCTGGATTTTACACAGAGTTTTCTGCCCTAAGGAGGATACTCCTGTACAAGATCTTAATCTAGGTTCTGTTTGTTTAAAACTTTGCTTTTAACCATCTATTTTAGTAGTTTGTTCTTCAGGGTTTTTGTTTGTTTGGTCTTTCTCAGACAGGGTCTTGCTATATAGTTGAAGTTGGCCTTGAATTCCCTATATAGCCCAGGCTGGCCTCACCCTCCCTACTGCTGGGATTCAGGTGTGCGCCACCACACCTGGTTAATCATCTATTTTAGATGGTCCTAAATCAAATACAGTAAGGATTCTTTTAGTAGCGGTATGCATTTAGCCAGTGTTGTACGATACAAGTCAACTTCCAGGCGCCCAGGTGTCTAATCTGAAGACTTTCTTGTACCATCTGTCAGTCAGTCTGTGCTCCTAAGGAGAGGGTATCTCCTCTCATCCAAGATTCTTAGAGCTGGTCCTCATCAGAGAACCAGGAGCAGCCCCCTGCAGGGGTGAAAGGACCCTGAAGTGGGATCTGGAAGATGGTTATTGGCTCAGCTGTGACCAACTCACCTTATGACCTTGAAAACCCACTGACAGAGAGGTCACCTTGAGTGTCACAACTTAGAGAGAGCTTCATTCTGGGGAGGGCCCACCTGCCAAAGCGGCCACAGCCATGTCCAGCAGAGGTCACACACAAGAACCATGGCACGCACTGGGTGTGTGGGCCGAGGCTCCACTTGTACTGCGTCCTGGTACAGAGAGGCCAGATTGGGGACAGGAAAACCGACTTGTGCTCCAGGATTTTCCCAATGTATTTAACAAATCATCCCAGCCCCTTCTTGGCTCTCTTCTCTGCAACACAGGGTAGAACTTGTGGGGAAGAACAGCAACTTACTCGGTACTTTATTTATATCTACAAGGCATTCGAATAAACTACCTGATCTTTTTCCTTTTAACCTTCCCTACAACCTTGTAAACCGGCGGAGGTAGAAGCCCCGCGTTACAGATAGTGGGTGACGCTTACTTATGCTTCTGGTATGGTCCTAAACAATGCCCTATACCACCATCTCATTTCCTCCAGGATCCTCACAGCCAACTACTTGAGGCAGGATCTATATTATCATTTCTATTTGATGTACGAGAAAACTGAGATGGGCATCGGGGTACACATCTGCAATCCCAACACTCTCTGCAGCTGAGGCAGGACGACTGAAAATTGAGCCCAGCCAGCGCCATTTAGTGATTAAGAAGACCCTGTCTCAAAAATAATAAAAATTAAGAAATGGCTTTAAGGTTCAATCCCAAATACTGAGAAAGAAAGAGAGACAGAAATTTGCACAAACAAGAGATATTTTTATGACAGCAAAAAGATTTTTCACTTGGAATTAAACTACGGCGAAAATTAGCAACTGGACTGTCATGGGGTTGTCCCAGTAGGTAAAGGCAGTTATTGTAGACTCTCAAACACTGCAGTAACGGGGACTGGGGATTTAGCTCAGCGGCAAAAGCACCTGCCTTGCAAGCAGGCAGTCGTGAGTTCGATCCCCGGTACCGGTAAAAACGAAAAAGACCCAAAAAAAAAAAAAAAAAAAAAACACTGCAGTAACACAAGGAAATGAACTATTTTCAGATCAGAAGGACAATGGTGTTCAAGTTAGCTGGAACACCAGGGCTCCGATCGATGGGGGGGGGGAGTAAATTTATCACCACTAAAAGACGACTCGGAGAAGATAAAGGGTTAAGATTTGGATGCAGTATTGGTGGTAATTTTTTTCCAAGCATATGTTTTATTTACCAACAAAACCAAACCACGGATGGCTCCGTAGATACAAATAAAGCACTATGTTTTTTAGGAACAAGCAAAAGACTTAGTAACTATTAAATATTAGCTGAAGCGTTCAATTAGGTGAACCCCCATTGCACCTCCACAAAAACCAAGGAATCACATCTCTATGGTTCTTCCGGAGCCGGAAAACGAGCATACACTCTCTCTTTCGTTGAACTCTATGGTCGACCAAGGCACCGTGACCCGGAAGCGATCCTGATAGGTTGGGCGGCAAGATGGCGGCGCGGAGTGCGCTTGGGGCAATGAGGGGGAACCTGTGGCAGGTAAGGAGCAAGTGAACCGGCACAATTGTGACCGAGTCTCATGCCACTACTGTTCCGCCCATCAGGAGCCTTCCTGATATTTATTGCTCACCTTGGGCCGATCGTAGGACGAAGCGGGCTGGTTTTATCTCAGATTCTCTCGTTGCATTACACGAGAGTGAGCAAATCGGGACGAAGGCGGGAATAAGAATTGATGTCAGAGCTGGGAAGATCAGTGAGCACGGTCTCTTAGCATCAGACGTTCCCAGGCCCCTCCTTTCACCTTTGCAAAACAAAACCGAAACCCCGAGGCTCAGAGAAGACTGGATTCTCGCGAAAATCGGGTGCTAAACTGTTCCCAGATCTCAGGTTCTTCCCGCAGAATAGACTCGGCATCCCCCAGGCTGCCTTGAACTCCGATAGGACACGAGGGTCTTATGTTTAGTTTTCTGAAAACAGAACTGAGAATCGTAAAAATACTCGTGTAAAGCCAGTAATCTCTGCACTCAAGAAGCTGAGGCAGGAGGATTTCCCTGAGTTCGAGGCCAGCCTGGGCTTCATGGAGAGACCCCTGTCTCAAAACAGACAAGTACTAATAAGTTTGTTACATGGTTAATGGAATTAGCATTTTATGGAAAATAACTACATTTTTTAAAAAAGCAAATGCTAATATAGTGAGTAGCAATGGTTTACACTTTTGCAAATTTAAAATCTGGCTTGATAGAAGACAGGTCGATTTTCGTATTTCTTTTTTTTTTTTTTTTTTTTTGTCTTTTTTCTTTTTATCGGTACCGGGGATTGAACTCACGACTGCCTGCTTGCAAGGCAGGCACTTATGCCGCTGAGCTAAACCTCCAGCCCCCGGATTTTCATATTTCATATCTCATATCTCAGCCCACCAGAAGTGTCTCGGAGACCCTCAGGCCACACTTTGAGAACCATTGTTCTTAAGGAAAACCAAATGAAGTTGAAAATCTTAACTAAAGCAGACTTACCTACACAAACTTCCCTTATGCATACACACACCTTCAAAAAATTGAAAGGAGAGAAAAAAAATTTTAAGAATACCTTAAGATTGACTTGTGGATGTAATAACAGTTTACGCATCTATTAAAATTACACACTTATAGAGGAAGATAGGACTGGTAGGTGTCATATTCCTTAGATTTGTGTCCCCCCCCCTCCCAACTGCATTGTGGGGTCACTGGCATAAATGGCATGGAGTCTTCTGTGTAGAACAGCAGATACCTCATGCTACTTTGAATTGTGTCGGATTTCCTCCTTTTGTTTTATTCATCCAGGGCCAAGGCAGAATATGAAACTTTTTGTCTCCAACAGGCATAGAGAAAGGAAGAAGACAGTAAAATAAAAACAGGCTTGGGGCTGGGGATTTAGCTCAATGGCATAAGCACCTGCCTTGCAAGTATGTGGTCATGAGTTCGATCCCCGGTATCAATAAAAAAAAAAAAAAAAAAAACAGGCTTAAAACATTTAGGTGACCAGCAGTTATTTTAATTAAGCTTCACTTGTGCTAACCTGTTACTTTCATCTTCATTGTATCTTTAAGGATTCTGTCATACTTTCACTTTCTCAAGTTACACTTTTAAGTCTCAGGAAAGGGTAAAGGAAAAACGGGTTGATAACTACATACATTGAATGTACAGTAGTACTGTTTAACTTTCCCAAAACAAAAAAGTTTTGTTCCACCAGGGGACGCTCGTGAGAAAGGATTTAGCGATTCTGGGTTGCCCTGGCAGGTGGCATGATCCACAAGGGGTATAAATTCCAATGTGTTGTATTTTAGTTAATTTATAAGCTAATTAGCCAAGCCAATGAGTACATATGCTTGAAAAGATGTATGAAAGTTTCAAAAGAAGTGTGCTTATGGCTGGTCCGAAGGTAGTGAGTTATTTCAGTTGATTGTTCACAGTCAGTACAGATTGAACTCCTTGTTCTACTCTTTCCCCCCTTCTCACTACTGCACTTGACTAGTCTTAAAAAAAAAAAAAAAAAAAGAAGTGTGCTTATTCCTGTACTTAATAAATGAAGTTGTGGGCTGGGGATTTGGCTCAGGGGCATAAGCGCCTGCCTTGCAAGCAGGCAGTCGTGAGTTCGATCCCTGATACCAATAAAAAGGAAAAAGACAAAAAAATAAAATAAAATAAATGAAGTTGTAAAGATGCATGATTTTAATTGCTTAAAAATTATCAGGCAAAGTAGCCAGGGCTGGGGGTGCAATCCTAGCACTCTAGGAGGCTGAGGCAGGAAGATGACAAGTGAGAGCCCAATGTGAACAACTCAGTGACTTAGCAAGACCCTGTCTCGAAATTTAAAAATAAATAATAAACAAGAAACGTTGAGATGTAGCTCAGTGAGAAAGTCCTGGAAAGTTGGGCAGAGTAAATACTATATTGAAATACAGTTAATCTGCACAGAGGTATTTTTTTTTTTCTTGATGTTCACATATTTAAATCATAGCTTTGCCAGTTGTGGTGGAGCACACCTGTAATCCCAGCACTCGGGAGGCTGAGGCAGGAGGATCGTTGCGAGTTCGAGACCAGCCTGGGCTACAAAGTAAGCTCAAGGCCAGCCTGAACTGCACAGTGAGACCCCATCTCAAAAAGACAAAAAAAAGCTTTTTGAGAATTGCAATTCTCTAGTGTTTTAGGAGTGCCTTTCATTCCCAAGTTTATTATTGTCATTTTATTGATTTTTTTTTTTTTTTTTTTGTCTTTTTTGAGAGGGCCTTGCCAGGCAGGTACTTGTGCCACTGAGCTAAATCTCCGGCCCACTGTTGTCCTTTTTAAAGAAATCTAATCTGATTCTTTTAATTCTCTCAATGTCTTCATCTAAAAGGACCAGATAGTCTTTATTCTCGGCATCACAATCTTTTGATTTTCAGTGGAAACCGAGTGGTTTGGGAATTGACTGTAATTCGGATCCATGTCCCCTTCCCTCCTCTTTTCAAGGGCTTGAGGAGTCTGTCTGCACCCCGCTCTCAGAGCAGCACAACCGCGCGCGGTGGCTCTCTCCTGTAAGTATGCAAGCGGCCAAGCTGAGCAGAGCCTGAACGTGGCCTCACACATCTTTCTTAGCTTTCTTCTTCCCACACAGCAGCACCAATGTGAAGTGGGCTCAGTTTTCAAGCCTACACGTCGATGTTCTGAAGGATGTGGCCAAACCTACGGTACGTGGTCCTAACTTCTTGCAGAAGTGAAATCGCTTTTTGTTACTGTTTCACGTGGGCTCCTTCCCCAGCCCTGGAAGGATGGACACGTTTCCCTGGGAAGCCGGAAGATGCCCCGCACGCACATTGTCTGGTGGGCCGAGCGTCTGGGTGTTGTCTGGGCATCCAGCTGAGCCCTAAAGGATAAATTACCCAAGAGTAATGAGCAGTCTCCTGCGTTTAGCTCAGCGTAACTGAGAAGGTGTAACGATTAACAATGCGGAATGCTGGGTGTTGTGTTGTGGAAAAATATTTTTCTACCAGCCTGCATGTCTTGTTTTCATTTTAAGTGTTGAGCCCGGGCCTGCCTATTACTGCACTGTCACAGTGAGAAAGGCATTTGCACGAATCCCAGGAGAGCAGGGGTGGCAGTGTAACCACCTTAGAAAGCCCTGATTCCATCAGCCTGAATCCTGTTTCCGGCCTTCAGGAAAATCCCCTTTGCCCCCTAGGTATGAGCCCTTCTAGAGCTTTGTCCATTGTGCACACACTGACAGGGAGCAGTATTCCACACAGGGCAGGCCCCTGCCTTTCCCTCCCTAATAGCGCTGGGTGTGTCTCCAAGAGGTGCACGAAAACCCTGGTCTCCACCCCGCAGGGCCCCAAGAAGAGGTAGCAGAACAGGCCCGGTGACACACTGGCCACAGTAGACCCTGGGCAGTCCCATAAGGATGTCCAGGATGTCACTGTGGTACAGCTCTTGCTTGGCATGTCCAAAGCTCTGGGTTCTGTCCCCACTGCTATGAAAAATAAAAACAAGCTGAGTGTGGTGACCAAGGCCTGTGATCCCAGCCCTCGGGAGGTTGAGGCAGGAGGATCGCCGGAAGTTTGAGAGCAGCCTGGGCTCTGTACTGATTTCAGAGCCACTATATAGTAAGACCCTGTGTCAAACACCCAAAGAAATATAAGTAAATAATGAAATCATGCAGAGCTCAGGCAGCACACATTTGGGGGCTCCTTTTCCCTGGTCCAGCCCAACTTTTGACATCGACTATTAGTCTGTTCTGTTTTCCCAACAACGGTAATTGAGAGTAGAGGCCCAGCTTCCTGGTTAGTAAGTAAGTCTCTTTTCACGGCAGAGTAATTTAACCCTGAATCATTGGATTAGTGATATAATCTCCAGGTCTAATGAGTGAATGAAATGAAGATAATTCGCCTCTTGGAGGGAAGTCAGAAGTGTCAAACCCATTATTCCTGAGGTCTTTAGGGTCAGGGTAGGAGGGGGAGGAGTTAGGGTACAGTCAGTGTCACTTTCGTGAGATATTAGTAATTCATGCATTTAGGCTGCAAAACGTACAGATAAAACCTAATAAAAAAGATATTATACTTTATCCAACAGGGTTTAACAGTTTATAGGTGCTTTAATGTCATTGCGTATTCTTTCCTCACAGAGACTCTGGGACCTGTAGTACAGGTATCACTGCCCTCCCATGAGGAGCTCAGGCAGCAATAGTCTGGGACTTGTATGTTGCCTCCAGGGCTGTGCGGAGCATTGAATTCGCATCCGGGTCTTCTGACCAGGCTGCCTTCCCTAACTGCCCCTGACGTCCCTCACTGTGGATCTGGGGTCCGGCAGTTACTAAGCTGGAAGGCTTCACTGAGAGCTCCGTAGGTTGCCAAGGAGGTCCACTGGCTCTGCTCCGGATTGTTGGAGTCCAAGTCATCCCGCATGTCCACAGGTGACAGGACAGGCCCTGTGCTCCTCTGAGATTCGCCAGTTAAGGTTATGTGCTGGATTTCCCAGTTACAAATATAAAAGTAATCAAAACTGGAACTTTTCTTTTTGATTTTAGATAACCGTTTCTGATGAGCCGGACACACTGTACAAACGCCTGTCGGTTTTAGTAAAAGCCCACGACAAGGCTGTGCTGGACAGTTACGAATATTTTGCCGTGCTTGCCGCCAAAGAACTCGGGCTCTCTGTTAAGGTGTAAGTGTCCCTTCCCCCACAGGACCGGGGGGACTGCTGTCAAGTGACCCATCAGGAATCAGGCGCCTGTCCTGGCTGGGTCCAGGCTGCTGACATGAACTGGAAGTCGGGATGGTAGAGCTGCCTGTGGTCATGTGTTACTCTGCACAGGCCTGTCCATGCCTGTCCGTTAGAATTGGAAGGTGACAGGCAGTGAGAGAAGTGTTTGGAAACTCCACTGTCCTGAGGAGGAACGGGCAGCCACACGTCTGAGTCTCCAAGAGGCAGTGGCCGAACAGGGGCACAGGCACCCTGGACTCTTGACTGATAGTCTTTGGCCAGTGCATCCAGTGTTTTCCAGAGCAGACCAGATTTCTGATTGTCGATCTGTAAATTTTCTTGAAACAACACTTACGTGGCAGGCGTTACAGCTGTGTGTGATGTGCCCTTACCACCTGCACACTGTGTGTGTCTCAGAGGATAAAGCAGCAGCACGAGTGTGCGTGTGCGTGCGTGCACATGCATGTGCCCATGTGCTCCCTCACATGCATTGTAGTGCTTGTTTGGGGCCCGTGGGAGGAGGCGCCTGTCCCTGTTGAGGTGTTTATTTTGGCCTGCTGAACAGCTTGTTAGAGGTGACGGTCTTGACTGATGAAGGCATTAAATGGTAGCTAATGCCTGTAATTTGTGCGCCTGGCCTCCCAAGCTGGAATCAGCCTTCCTGTCAGTGACTCAGGTCTCAGCAGCAGCAGATTAAACTTGTTTGTCCATTCGTTTCAGACACGAGCCGCCAAGGAAGATAGAGCGGTTTACGCTTCTCAAATCCGTGCATATTTTCAAGAAGCACCGAGTGCAGTATGAAGTGAGGACGCTGTACAGATGCTTGGAGGTGGGTGTGGCAGCTGCGCGGGTGCTTCGGAACCACGCAGGCTCCGTGCTAGCACCGTCCTGACCTTCCCCAACACCGGCCGAGATGCAGGTGACTCCTGAAAGCCGTGCGAGTCTTACATTTACGGAAGCTGGTGATAGGAAGGCAGGCACAACACCATCCTTAGGGTGTGTGCCCTAGAAATGCCGGGCAGGTCCCGTTAAGTTCTTTTGCAGTTGTAGGGTTCCACTGTCGTGTTATCAGTCACTCGTGTGTCCACAGGGGCCAGGGGACAAGGACTTGGATTAGATGAGGTCTTTTAGAAATTACATGTATGCCTCTTAACAGCCTACTTTATTGAAAAAGGAAACCCAAAAATTTCATCCACCCATGTCTGTCAGTCATTTTGCCATGAAGCGTACGAAACTCTTAGACTCACTTTACCATAAAATCTGCCTTCCTGCTTCCTGTCGTCTTGAGTTGTTTGGGGAACTCTTCTGAGTCCTGCTTGGGTTGTGCTTGCTACCAGGGTTCCTTCTCTGAGTCCAGCTCTCGGCGGCTGGGAAGGAGCGTCGAGGTCACACTTCCCACGTGGTCCCACCAGTGGCCCTCTGCGCACTCAGATGGAGTGTGAGAAGATCAGGCCCCACCACGTTACCGGAAATAAAATGCTGAAGGTTTCTGCTGTAAGCCAGGCACATGGGGCTTGCCTGTAATCTCAGCTGCTCTGCAGGCTGAATCAGGAGGATTCCAAGTTCAAGGCACCCTGTGTGATTGACCGAGATCCTGTCCCAGTGTAAAATAAGGGCTGGGTGCGGCTCAGTGATACAGTGCGCGCTTGATGTGTAGGGGGCCCCGGCTTCAGTCCCAGCACTGACACACACGCACGTGCATGCACACACACACACACAAGAGGCCCTGGCTTCACTCCCAGCACTGACACACACACACACACACACACACACACACACACACACACACACACACAAGAGGCCCTGGCTTCCGTCCCAACACTGACACACACACACAAGAGGCCCTGGCTTCAGTCCCAGCACTGACACACACACGCGCATGCACACACACACACACACACACACACACACACACACGATTGCTGACCGTTTTCGCTTGGGCTTTCAGTTGGAACACCTGACCGGGTGCACGGCGCGAGTCTACTTGGAGTACATTCAGCGGAACTTACCCGAAGGGGTCGCCATGGAAGTAACCAAGGTATGACTTGGGTCTCCACCCGCTGCGGTTCCTCCCTGTCCTGCTGTTGCAGCCCCGGCCTGAGTCCCATGACAGGAGGACCCAGAGCTTCCCAGGAACAGGGTTGTCACTGTGGCCCTGGGCTGTCCCTCGCTCCGTCCCGTCTGTAAGTGGTGAAGAGGAGTTGACAGATGACGGAGTTCAGCTCCTGTCAGAGCCCTGTGGGCCCACTGTGTGACAGCTTCCTGTCCTCTTCTAGACCCAGTTAAAACAGCTACCGGAGCACATCAAGGAGCCCATCTGGCACACAGCAGCTGAGACAGAAGAAGCGAGCAGGTCCTGAGGCCTCACTCCTGTGGGGAGAGGAGCGCGGCCGCCACTGTGTTCCCAGGAGAGGGACCGAGTCCTTGCTGATCCTCCCAGGGTTCGCTGGCCCTGCAGCTGAGCGCAGAACGTTGGAGCTTCAGTGACAGACGCAACTGTCGCAAGAGGATCATGCTGTTTGTCTACCTGTGTCATTGTTTGTGTCGTGACTTTGAACAGCATGAGCAAACCACTTAAACATTCAGGCCTAAAGAGTTGAATTTATAGTCTGTCCCACCGTGATTCAGTTATTCGTACCAATTTGGTTTTTATCAGTGTATTCTTCAGAAATGAGGGTTTGAAGTATTTTTCAGGGGGCTTTTAAACTCCTAGCAGAACACCTGGTCCAGGCTTTGCCCCTGGCCTCAGTGCAGCTGGCAGGCGTGCCCCTGGCGATGACCAGCCAGCTTCTGAGCTCGGCCTTTGGTTTCTGGAAAGGGAGCCCCTGCTATACATGGCTGTGTTTGTGACACGCACAGAGCTCTCACAGCCCGGACCCTCACGGCACTGCCTCCAAGGGTCACTGGTGTAATATCTGCTCTTACCAAATTACTACTGTCCGGCCGGGGATTTAGCTTAGCGGTGGCAAGCATGAGGTGGAAAGTTCAATCCCCAGTACCAGAAAAATAAAAAATAAGTTACTACTGTTGGGCCAGGTGTGGCGATGCACATCTGCAGTCTCACCACCTGGGGGGCTGAGGCAGAAGAATTGCTGCAAGTTTGAGGCCGGCCTGAGCTGCACAGCGAAACTCTGTCTCAAAAAGAAAGTTGCACCACAGATGTGTGTATCTCTGCTGCAAAGCGCCTGCCTGGCAAGTGAGTTCGAATCCTGGTACCAAAAAAGTTACTACTGTTAACTGTTGGGTACAGGGGCCCATGCTTATACTCTCAGCTACCCAGAGGCTGAGGCAGGAGGATGACAAGTCCCAGGCCAGCCTGGGCAAGTTATGGGACCCTACCTCAAAGTGTAAAAGTGAAAAGGCCTGGGGATATAGGTCAGCACTGTTGGGGTTCAATCCCCAGTACAGAAGAGAAAGACGGGCAAGGAGGAGGATACAGACAGACATTAGTGACCGTGTCATTTCATTCATCCCGGAGCTTCGCACTGAGCCCTGGCTCTGGTCCCTACCTGATAAGAAGACCCCTTTTGGTAGGCAGTTCCGCGGTGTTGGGGGCTGCCTACTTTTCCATGGGACTAAAGCCCTGAGAGGTGGCTGCCGTGGCCGGGCAGCTGGCATGGCAGCCACGGGGGAATATACGTTTTCTTCCCACGGCAGAACGCGGTCAGTGTCTTCTGTGACCTTCCCACCTCTGCAGTGGTGACTTCCCATCTCCGCCCCGGGCTGCAGTGCCAGCCCTCCAGCTGTCAGTGTCCTGAGTCCACGCGGGTTCTGTCGCTACACTTACATGACTCACTAGCGTAAGAATTACAGCCCTGCACCTCGTGCACCCCTGAGTGCAGGTGTCACCCTGTCATTTGCAGATGCGTAAAGCTTGCTTATCCCAGCTGTGAACCTCGGGACAAAGAAGCAGTCAGGCAAACAGGCCACGTAGTGGTGGCTGTGCCAGCAAAACACAATGTGTGATACGTTCCTGTTTTTAAAAAAAAAAAAACATCCGCGTGGAAAGCGGGAAGTGTAGATCGTGGGCCAGGCATCCTGGCACACACTTGTAATTCCAGCTCCCTGGAGGCTGAGGGACAAGGGTCACGGGTTCAGGGCCAGCCTGGGTTACCGCTAAGCTAGGGAAGTGACGTGATGTGACGGACGCGTGTCTCCCACTGCAGGGATTCTCCTGAGCCCTGTCAGCTGCTTCCGTTCTCAGCCGTCCTCTGAGTAACCGCAGGAGGCTGTTTAGCCTGACGCTTCAGGCTGTGTGTTGAAACCTTGTTTGAAGATAAATGCACAAACCACACACAGCAACAGCTAGCAATGTTTCTTTGGCAAAAGGACTTGGCATTCTGAAACTTCTTCACATAAACTAAACTTTTTTTCCCCAAGAAGGGTTTTAAGTAGCAAAAATAGGAGAGGAGGTGAGAGACCTGGATCTGGCAGCTGGTGAACAGAAGGCAGGGAGGAAGGGGACAGGTTTTCACTGGGGTGCAGCAGTGTTTGGGCTGCTCTCACCCAAAGCGTGTTTCTTCAGATTAACTAGAATGTTGTTCTGGGCTGTCTGAAGTTTCTGGTCTCACAGCAGATCTCTGCTAAGACAAAGAGGTTCAGTGCCAAGTTTCAGTTATTTCAAAGAGAATGACACATTCTTTTGGCCACTTAGCATGCTGCCCCGGGACTGGAGCCCGCCCAGGAGGGGCTGTGAGCTCAGCCTCCAGGGCCCTGGGGCGGGGCTGGCTGGCTCTTTGGAGCTCAAATCTAGCTGCTGCTGCCTGTGCTACGTTCACAGTTGTTTTGGTCCCACTCCTTTCTGGCTCCTTATTCCTCCTTTGTAAAATAAAAGGTTGCCGGGTGTGGCTCACACTTCTGTAATCCCAGTGCTCAGGAGGCTGAGGCAAGAGATCACTGCAAGTTTGAGGCCAGCCTGGGCTACATCCTGGGGGAGAATCCATTGTTGAGTGGATTACTGTGTCAGGAGCTGGGGCCTGGCCAGAACTGGGGGCCTCGGGAGTGTCACCCGGAAGGGTGTGCTCTTCCTGAATGTTTCCTGGCTGCCACAGGCGGGCAGCTCTCCTCCCTCCAGCCCTCCCACCATCTTGTTTCTGCCTCGGAGCCAGCCATGCATGGACTGAATCCTCTGAAAGTGTGAGCCCGATTAAACCTCTCATCCTTTAAAATACAAACGTCGCAGTAAAGACATAAAGGAATAATCATAAGCAGCCAGCACAGGCCCGTAACAACATCACATGTCAGCGATCATTGCTTCCCTCCGTGATACTAAGTTAGTTTCACTCCACCATTAATCAGGAGCAGAGCAGACAGTCAAGTCTGAGCTTTGGAGGGAAACAGACCCACAAGCTGCTGTAAGTGCAGGCAAGATACCAACCCTGTCAGTGCCTTAGTTATTCATAAAATGTACCAGTAATGCCTGCGTACTAAGATTGGGATGCTAGCAGTGAGGATGCACCTGGCGTGCAGAGATACTTCACAGTTGACAGCATTAACGCAGCGGGGCCAGGCTGACAGTGCTGTGGAGGAGCCGGTGAAGAGGGAGCCCAGGTTGTGTCTCACCCCGCAAGCCAGTACCTCGGGGTGGCCGTGGGGCTTCCTCAGATGGAAACGCGCTGCTCGTTACAGAGAGCATGCAGCAGGCTGAGTGTCACGGGGATGGATTTCCAGCTCGCTCCCCATCAGCTTGGTGGTGTCGCTAAAACCATCTGCTTTCCAAGAGAGAAAGCCAAGGAGTAAAAGCTGTGATCTGCCCTCTCAGTCACCCTCTCAGCTTAAGGGTGATGCTGAAGCCAGAGAAGGAGGAGAAAGAGGAGAAAAAGGAGGGGCGGGGAGGGAGAAGAGAAATTGTGGACCTTTTCAGTGTTAGTGACAGGTACATTCCCAGAACCCATTTGGGGAGCTGAGAGGAACTCAGATGTCCACGTATTAAAAACAATACCCCAACCCAAATGCCAGATTTATTTTCTCTTTTTCTTCAACAAATTATTCCATTTCCTTTAACACTTAGAAGTAAAAAGATCAGAGGACTGTCAGAGAACGAGAGATGGACTGCAGGAAGCAGAACACAGTGTGTGCCCTAGTGGCCCCACGACAGCAGTCCTGAGTGATTAAGGGGCGGCTCGGCAGTGTGGGCTTCAGCAAGGCAGAACCTCCTGGGTCCCCGGAGCCTGGCATGGGGGTGGCGAGCAGCAGGACTTGCAGATGCTGCCCCGGCAGCCAGGCCCGGGGGTGACCGCCTGCAGCCCCAGAGCTCCCTGCAAATCCCTTCTCAGTTCCTAACCCGGCCTTCGTTAAATCCTTACTATTGTTATTCCCTCCAAGCTATTATTTCTCTCTCTGGGTTCTTAATCCTCTTTAAAACGATATATTTATACCTCAATAGCTCAGCGATATGTATAGGGCAGGTCACGGGCAACTGACCTCCTTGAAAAGCCGACCTTTGAGTTGCTCAGCCAGATGCTAAATCAAGTTCCATTTCATCCATAGAATTTCCTGAGCACAAGTACCGTCCTTTAATCACTCCTCAGTGTGCTGAAATATCAATAATGCAAGACATGGCCAGGGACAGCCGTATCCTCCCGTGGAGCAGCGGGACGCTGGGCACAGACAGCCATGGCTGCTCGTGGGCAGCATCATCTTGGGGGGCTGAGGAGGAGAAAGACTAAAGCAGCAGTGGGCCGCGGGAAGGCCACGGGGTCTTCTGGTTCTGAAATCCCACTGCTGTCTCACGTCAACAAATGCCTGCTCGTCTGGGACTGGCAGTGTTGTAAAGTCAAGGCCTGATGTGGCCCCTCTGTCAGCACTGACTCAGTCATGCCAAGCCCTGATGTCAGCGCTGGGGCTTCTGTAGTGGACATGGTGGAGTTCCTGTGCTCAGAGACTGCAAATAAGTGTGGAACACAGAACAAATAGGGGGAAATAAGGTAGTTCCCGATGGAGGGGGACGCTACAAAGAAAACAAAACTGGGTGATGTCAGAGTGTCTACCTTGGGGAGAGGCGAGCACCAAGGAGGAAGCAGCCAGTGAGGGTGTGAGGTGAAGGGCAGTCCAAGCAGGAGGAGTAATGGATGCCAAGACTCTGAGAACAAGCATGGTGCCCACAGAGGAGACCCGGGGGCCGTGAAGCCGGAAGTGGGCAAGGTTGGGATCATGTCATGCGTGGCAGGCCCAGGAAGGTGGGTGGATTCCATTCTCAGCACAGACAAGGAGCTAGAGGTTTGGAGCAACACAGCAGCAAGATCTGATTTAAGAACCTGCTGCTCTGGCAGCTGGGCAAGAGAGGAGAGTGACACAGGGGACCTGCTGAACGGTCAGAGAGAGAGTGCCGGCGGGCCGGAGTGGTGACAGTCAGCTGATGAGCCGCAGCTGGGCTCTGAGTGTGGCGCGGAGGGAGGGCGGGGTGGCGTGCTAATAGGTGGAGGGAAGAGTGATGTCAAGGTTGACCCCTACCTGGAGCCTAAGCAGTTACAGAAATGGTGACCCCACCGCGGCCTGGGAGAGCCTTCTGGAGGACCTTGGAAGTGGACTAGTTAGGCTTCGGCCTCGTCACTCCACAGCTGGGCACAGGGGGTGCTGGGCAGCAGGCCAGCCTGGGGGTGCACTGCTCAGCCTCTCAGTGTCCTGTATCGCCATGACAGTGAATGCGATGTAAGGGACAGAGCGAGGTAGACAGGAAGACTCAGGACAAGTGGGGACCCTGAGCTCTCAGAGACTGATGGAAAGAGAGGCCAGCAGAGGACAGGGGCCATTGGTGCGGCCAGGGTGGCAGACCTGGAAGCCAGGAGTGTAAGAGGAGAAGGCCACAGGAGGGACGGGGCAGCACAGCACTGCCAGCAGGCTGAGGAGAAGGCCAGGTAACGGAGGACACAGGGAGGTTTGGGAGTGCTGCCTAGTGGCCTAAAACAGTGACAACGTCCACCCTGCACACACAGCTCTGCAGGACCCTCAGGAGACTGTGCCCACTCTGCCTGGTGTCAGCTGCAGGGGCTCTATGGTGCTCCTTCTCATACCCAGAGCCTGTGTTCCCAGGAGGTCCTGAGACAGGCAGGCAGAAACCTATCCCTTTGTTTGGTTTTTTTGTTTTGTTTTGTTTTGTTTTATCAGCCCTAAAGATTAAACCCAGGGCTTTTACATTCCGCTACATCCTCCAGTCCTTTACAAACTTTTTATTCTGAGACAAGGTCTCACTAAACCCCAGTCACCCAGGGCTCAAACCTTCAATCCTCCTGCCTCAGCCTCCTGAGTGTTGGGATTACCCGAACTTGTTCTGTTTTAATACAGGCAACATGGGGCTGGGGATTTGGCTCAGTGGTAGAACACTTGCCTAGCAAGCTGGAAGCCCTGGGTTCGGTCCTCAGCACCAAACCTGAAAAACAAAAAACCCATAAAAAAAATTAAAAAAAAAAAAAAAACACAGGCAACATTAAAGCCAGTCTGCATGCAAGTGGAAACACCCCATGCAAAAGGGGTCAGTGCAGGCTGCCCAGGACAGAGGGCAGCAGGAGAAACAAGCCCCTCACTTATGTTTGAAACTGAAAAACAGGGAGCTTCTGACACAGGCCAGGGCTCCAGCGGCTCCAGGACCTGCTTCCCACCAGAGACCCCGCCTGTCTCACTAGATGCAGGCTGAGGCCCGGGTGACCCCAGATTCTACTGTGCACCCCAGGACTCAGTCTCCTTCCTCTCTAGGTCCAAATCTGCATCTCAGGATGGGCTTCTGTGGAGATGCCCGGTGCCCACTGCAGGGCAAGGTGAGGGGCAGTGGCACAGCTGTCATCCCCGCGACCCTCACTCTGCTCCTCTGCCTGTGTCTCACTGCTTTCCCCTTCACCATCTTGGGATGGGGCAGGCAGGGTGCTCAGGGGAGAGCGTGACCTGCGGGGGAGCTCAGCCCTGCAGGAGATTCTTCTAATGGCCTTAGAGCAGCTTAGGTGTGGGGACACGCGCCTCCCTGTCCCCGTTCACATTGCCCACAGCATTGTCTCCGGGGCACCACGCAGAGGCTGGGCCAGCAGAGGAGAGAGGCACAGAGCCTTGGTCCAAGGAACCAGCGAGCAGAGGCCCCCAAGGAGACCACTGCCGACATCCAGGCGGAGATGGGACAGCAGTTCAGCTGGGAGGAGGGGCGGGCCTGCGAGATGGACGTGGCCGAGCTCCAGGAGTGGTACAAGCGGTTTCTGATGGAGTGTCCCAGCGGCACGCTCTTCATGCACGAGTTCAAGCGCCTTTTCAAGGTCACAGGCGACGACGATGCCAGCCAGTACGTGGAGGGCATGTTCCGGGCCTTCGACAAGAACGGGGTAAGGCTTGCCAGGGGGACCTACAGCCAGGCCACCCAGTGCGCACACATCCCACCTCATCCCTACGCCGCTCCTTCCCCAAACTCCCCTCTCATCCTGCCCTCCTGTCCTCCCTTCATCCTGTCCCTCTGTCCTAGCGTTGTCACTGAGAGGTCCCTACCCTTCTTCTCCATGGCTGGAGGTGGCGGCAAGCAGGCCTAGCTTCTCTATGGGGATTTTTGGCCCAGACTGTGCAGCCCAAGGACCTGGCTTTCACACCCACCGGTCACTCCAAGCAGAGGGGGTCTCGGTCCTTCCAACAGATGGGCCAGCTGTTCCTGCTGCAGGTTCCAGAGGAGCACAGTGGGTGGATGGCTGCAGGGATGCTTTTCCACTCAGGCTTTCATAAAATTGAGCAGGGTTTCCTGAAACCTTTCAATGACACCCATAGCTAAAAAGATACTAATTTCTGGCCCAGCGTGGTGGTATAAGCCTATAATCCAGTGCTCCAGAGGCTGAGGCAGGAAGATCCTCATGAGTTTAAAGTCAGCCTGAGCTATAGAGCAAGACCCTGACTTGAAAAAAGAAAGAAAGAAAGGAAGGAAGAAAAGAAAGAAAGAGAAAAAGCAGATACTAATTTCTGGGGAAATGTGTAAATTCAACTCAGTGAAAACCCCTTGGCTATCCTGGTTTATCCAGCCGAGGCCTTTAGGTTTATCTCCAACTTCTTTGTCTGCCTGCTGCTTTGAGGGCATGGGTTGGACCCTGAGAGTCAAGCTGGAGAACTTGGAATACCACTGGGGTCTGTGTCTGTCCTGGTCCCAGTCAGGGAGGAAGGGCAGCCGATGTCTTCAGTGCCGCAGAACCACGCAGAATCGCCCATGGAGATGGACCTCCAGGGCTCAGAGCCCCCCTTTTCCTCTCCTCGGCCCCTCCCCAGGCTGCAGCCCATCGCGAGACAGGGCAGCAAAAGCCAGGGCAAAACAAACGAAATTGATTTGCCCAAAGCCGTATACTCAGGTGCTCCTACCTTAGAAGGTGAGGCAGGGGCAGTCGAGATCTAAAAAATGATTTTTTAATTTTTTTCTTTGTTTGTGTTTGAGGCAGGGTCTCTCCATGTAGTGCAGGCTGGCAATGAACTTACTATGCAGCCCAGGCTGGCCTTGAACTCACAGCAATCCTTCTGCCTCAACCTCCTGAGTGCTAGGATTACAGGGGTGCACCACTGCGCCCGGCTCCAAATTTGATAGTCCTCTAATGCCACCACCCTCTCTGTCCTTTAGCCAGCAATCTGCGGTAAGGAAAAGCTTCGGAAGGTGTTCCATCCTGTGCCAGCCACTGAGCTTTCTCTCTCCAATTTAGACATCTCCAAACCCACACCCTCCCCACTCCTCACTTGGATGCAATCTTTGTAGCAGGGAGTTTCATTTTTGGACAAGTTTGTAGCTCTAGGTGGGTGGAACACACTTGCAATCCCAGCACTCGGGAGGCTGAGGCAGGAGGCTCACTGCAAGGTCAGCCTAGGCTGCATAGTGAATTCAAGGTTAGCCTGAAGTATATAGTGAGACCTAGAAAAAGAAAGAAAGAAAGAAAGAAAGAAAGAAAGAAAGAAAGAAAGAAAGAAAGAAAGAAAAGAAAAGAAAAGAAAAGAAAAGAAAAGAAAAGAAAGACAAGGAACAGAAGAGGGGAGGAGGAAAGGAAGGAGAGAAATAGACTTGAGCAGGGATCGGAAGTTTCCGCTGGGCCGCAGAGGCGGCCCGGCTCACAGGCTCTGTGCGCGGCTGCACGGGGGCTCGCGTGCGCCAGCCCTCAGCCCACCTCACCCCACGCAGGACAATACCATCGACTTCCTGGAGTACGTGGCGGCCCTGAACCTCGTGCTGCGGGGCTCGCTGGAGCACAAGCTCCGCTGGACCTTCAAGATCTACGACAAGGACCGCAACGGCTGCATCGACCGCGCGGAGCTGCTGGACATCGTGGAGGTGGGCGCGGCTGGGCAGGGCAGGGCAGGGCGTCCGGCCGCCGCAGGACGCTTGCTTGTGAGGACTCGGATCTGGGTGGCTGGCGGCCGGGCCTGGGAGAGGCCCCGGGGGACCGGCCTTGGGGCGAGCGGGATGGGGCTGGCGGCTCAGGACAGCCGGTCCCCCTCTCGCAGTCCATTTACAGGCTGAAGAAAGCCTGCCGGATGGAGACGGACATGGCCAAGGACGGGCAGCTGCTCAGCCCCGAGGAGGTGGTGGACAGGATCTTCCTCCTGGTGGACGAGAACGGGGATGGTGAGCGGGAGGGGTAGGGCGGGCTGTCTGAGCCACGGCACCCCCGGCCCCCACCTTCCTTCCTACCGCTGACCCAGAGGAGGGGCAGGCTGGTCCGATGGCAGTGGGTTGTCAGAACTTACTAACATTAGTGTCACTAAAGTTGGTATACCACCCCCCCACACACTGCTAAATTTGACTGGCTTTAAAAAAAAAAAAGAAAGAAAGAAAGAAATAGCAAGGGCGCCCAGGCAGCCACTGGGGTCGGGCTGCAAGGAGAAAACAGGGACGATTTTTGGCCTCAGCCTGTTCTCTGTGTCCCCTGTGCCCACTGGGAAGGTGGGGATGACGAGAGTGGCCGAAAGGACTGATGGGGGTGTATTCAGGAACAAAGCAGGTGTGGTAATATAGACCTGTAACCCTCGCACTAGAGAGGCTGAGGCAGGAGATCAACTGAAGTGTGAGGCCAGCCTGGGCTACATAGTGAGACCCTGTCTCAAACAAAATATATATATATATATATATATGGAATATAGTATTTTTACTGGTACCAGGGATCAAACTCACAACCACAGGTTTGCAAGGCAGGCATTTATGCCACTGAGCTATATCCCCAGCCCCAAACAATATATTTTTTTTAAATAAAGGCTGGGACTGTAGGTCAGTGCAAAGGCCCTGGGTTCAATCCCCAGTGTTTAAAAAAAAAAAAAAAAAAAAAAAACAGAGAGGGGCAGGGGATTTAGCTCAGCGGCATAAGCACCTGCCTTGCAAGCAGGCAGTCGTGAGTTTGATCCCCGGTACCGATAAAAAGACCAAAAAAAAAAAAAAAAAACAAAACAGAGACCACCTTTAAGCCTTCTGGGGAGTCTCAGCATTTCAGAGGTCTTTTGCTTGGTTCTTTTTTTTTTTTTTAATCAGGATTGGGGATCAAACTCACAACCGCACACTTGCAAGGCAGGCACTTATGCTGCTGAGCTAAATCCCTAGCTCCATTTCAGAGGTCTTGTGGGTAACAAGAAGTCCCAAGGCTTCAGGGACTCCTGGGAAGTCCGACCAACCACAACCTTAAGGCTGAGACTGCCGACTGGTCCCAGGAGAGGTCTCTGCCCCCGCCCCCGCCCCCACCCCCACCTCAGGTCTTCCCAGCACCTGTGACCATCTCCCCCTCCCCCAGGCCAGCTGTCCCTGGATGAGTTCATCAAAGGTGCCCGTCGTGACCAGTGGGTGATGAAGATGTTGCAGATAGACGTGAACCCTGGCAGCTGGATCACCCAGCAGAGGCGGAAAAGTGCCATGTTCTGATCCCCACACCCCGCATCGAGTCCCCAAGCCGATCAGGGGGTTCAGTCCCCATGCAGGGCCTGCTGGGGTCCAAACAGGAGTTGACTGCTCCGTCCCTAAGCTGCTCCCAGGAGAACTGTGCCTTGCTGGAGGACACAGGGTCCTGCACAATTCTAGTCCTCTGTGGAAAGTAGGGCCCAGCTGGGGAAATGGGGTCCCTAAGCTGGATCAGCAAAGTGAGCGCTCAGGTTTTGGGAAGCAAAGACCCAGGAAGCAGGGGCTGGAAGTGCTGAAGATAGGGGGTACACTGGGGGGTCACAGTCACAAACCCCCAGTCTCCGCAGCAGTGCCCATGGGGAGGACCCTCCCGGCTCCCCTCGAGGCAGCTTCCTGGAGGTGTCACCAAGGGGATGCTAAAGCAAGACAGCTGGGATGTCTGAGCAGGGAGGCTCTGCGAAGGGGGCTGTCAGCTCCGCCTTCCCGTGGCTCCCACCACCGCCTGCCAGCCCCTCCACTTCAGCCAGGGACCTTCGCCCCTCCCTTGAAGGATGGAGGAAGTCAGGGGTCTGTTGACCTGGGTTCAGAACCAGGCTTTGCCTCCAGTGGCTGTGGGACCCCTCCCCCCCGCCATCGTTCCCCTGGATTTTGCAGATTGGACTCCATGAGCAGCTTTTAAATGATTGCTTTTAGGTGTGGGCTTCTTTGTTGTTGTTATACAAACTATTTTGTGCAATCCCAATATAAAAACCAGATTAAAAGAAATCCCTTCCACCTGAAGGGGGGCTGAGACATTCAGACCCCTCCCAGCCAGGAAGTAGAAATCAGGGTTACCCCAGTTTCCTGTGGGATCTGGAATAGTGTTTGCTTTCCTTCAACACAGATAGTTTTTTCCTTGGTACCAGAAATAAAACTCAGGACATCATCATGCTTGCCAGGCAGGTGCTGTGCCGCTGAGCTAAATCCCCAGCCTAGATACATTTTTATATTAAAGCATAAATATAAAACTTGTGTATAGAACCCAAGGCCTCATAGATATGATTTTCTTATGATCTTCATTTAGACATCAATTGTAGATTGAAAATGATTAAAATACTAATTCTAGGCCAGATGTGGTGTGCACGCCTATAATCCTAACACTCGGGAGGCTGAGGCAGGAAAATCACTGCAAATTTGAGGCCAGCCTGGGCTACAAAGTGAGTTCAAGACCAGCCTGAGCTTCAGAATGAAACCCCGTCTCAAAAAGACAATAAAATAAAGGGAAAAATATGAAAACTAATTCTAACGGAAGGGGTTGAAAGCAGGGGAGCAGAATGGTGAAGGAGGAGGAGGAGGAGGAGGAGAAGGAGGAGGAGGAGGAGGAGAAGCAAGTTATACCATGTACAGGTGCAAGTCCCCTATGAGTGTTACCATTATGTGTATATAAAATGTACCAATAAAACTGTAAAAAACACACACACACATACACAAATGCTAATTCTATGCCAGGTGGGACAGAAATATGCCCCGAACCATGCAGGTAGCCTGCAGATGGGGCTGGGGGCTGCTGCTCTGGGGACAGGCGGACACCCTCTCAACTCTGAGCCCTAGGAGTTCCCACGAGGCCACAGTAAGAGAAGGACCCAACAGCTCAGCTCCCTGCCCCCTGGGCCCGGCTGACATCCTGTCCTGGGCAGCCACCTGCTTGTCCCCTCTCAGGGCACTCACTGAGCTGCATTCTGCTCCCCTCTCCTGCTCTCCCAGCCCTGGGTTTTTTCATTTTTTTTCTTTTTTTTTTTTTTTTTTTTTTCATTTTTTTTATCGGTACCAGGGATTGAACTCACGACTGCCTGCTTGAAGGCAGGCGCTTATGCCGCTGAGCTAAATCCCCAGCCCCCTCAGCCCTGGGTTTGTATTCACTTCCCTGCCTTCCTAGTCTGAAGCCCAGAAGAAAGGACATTTCTACAAACAGGATCACAGCCGCTCCAGCCCACACTACCTGGACGCTCCCCTGGCAGCCAGGCGGCTGTAACTGGGTGGAGCCGATAAGCCTGGCCTTGGGCTGAGCTGTGCAGGGCCCTGGCTCAGCACCCAGCTGCAGTGGGCTGTCCTGCTTCCCTGGGAGTGTGCGGTGTCACCGTGGCATGAGATTTAGGTCAGAGAGGGGGCACCAGGTTATGTGGAATGAGCAATGGGCTGCTGACCCACGGTGCCCATGTGGCACTGCAGGCCACCAAGAGTGGACGCAGGAACCTCTGGAATCAGTGGGAGCCTCCTATCTGCTTTCACTTGAGGACGATGCCAAACTGGAGCAAACGCTCGGTGTGTGTCTGGGTGCCCATGCGTGTAAACACACACACACACACACACACCCCACAGTGCTCTCCGTACCCCCCCCCCAGAGCTGCACTGCCCTCCAGATACCCATCCTTGTTTCCCTGGTAGGGTCACACATTTCTCAGAGATGTGGGTTTTTCCTAGCAGTCCCTAGGAGGAGCTCCTACAATTGAACATGATGACTCCTATTGTTTCAAATTTGGTAAAACTGAAAAGATTTTTTTGTTGTTAGCAGGGGTCAAATTCACGACCTTGTGCTTACCAGGCAAGTGCTTGAGCCACTGAGTTAAATCTCCAACCCTGAAAAACCATTTTATTTTTTGAGACAGAGTCTCCCTATTGTAGTTTAGGCTGGCCTTGAACTCATGGCAGTCCTCCTGCCTCAACCTCCCAAGTGCTGGGATGACAGGCATGTGCCACCACACCTGGCTTAGTAAAACTGAAATCCAAAGGAATCCTTCCCTCTTGCACCTAGAACTTCTCCTGCTGCACCACACAGCACCCCCATGTGATGCTCACATCACGGAGAATGCTCCCAAGGCTTGGAGAGAAACCTTCAACCATTTCCAGGTCAAAGGTCACTGCTGTGAGGCTGCTTCTTATACAGAGCCCTAACTTCACAACTTCCCTCCAGATATTCTATCAGAATGGCTCTTCCCACTGAATCTGGGTTCAGTGGGTATCCTTCCCACTGAATTCTGGGTTCCTTGGGTATCCAAAAATGATAGCAGCAGAGCTATCTTTTTTGTCTACTGACATCTGCATTGTACACAGCAGGTGTTCAATAAATGCTTGTTTCAGGGAGGATAAATCAATGCCAACTGCACAGGTAGGCTCCAGGTCAGGGGAGAATGTGCTGCTACCCCTCGGTTGAGGTTTCGGCTGCAGCTCTGCAGGACTCTCCAGAGACCCAGAGAGGCCCAAGTCTAGAAGGGGCTGGGGTGGGGAGTCCCGTGGCGCAGGGATGCAGAACAAGGCCCTGGAGGCCCCAGGATCCTTCCTACAGCACCCACCCTGGACTCCAGCTCCAGGTCCGCTGCTGCCCCCATGGGCCCCAAAGAGGCGAGCTGAGCCTGTGAGCCTGTGGGTCCTCTGTAATATTAAGAAGTGACACCGGGCACCGCCTGGGCCTCTGTTCCACCCCACACAGGAGCTGGCTCAGCCCGCTGCCCCTGCTCCCTCGCCCGGAGCCTCGTCCTGCTCGCCGTTCTGCAGCCTGCGCACGATGCGAGTGAGGTCCAGGCTGCGGGTCAGCGTGTCCAGCAGCATCTGGTCCTTCTGGACTCCCTCGATGAACTCCTCCAACGAGAGCTCCCCTGGAGTAAAGAGGGCCCGCGGGCCGGGGTCATACCTGCCATCCAGCGCACACAGATGGGTGAAGAGGGCGGGGGCAGGAATGGGTGGGCCAGTGACCAGTAGTGGGTCCTGCACGCTCGCCGTGACCTCCACCGCTGCTGACCCTGCCCTGTGCCTCCTCCCCTCCCACCTCCGCTGACCTGTCCTGTGTCCCATCACCTCCCAGCCCCGTCTCTGTGTCCTCACCGTCCCCATTGACGTCGATCTTGGCAAACACGGTGTTCGTGAACTCCTCAGCGCTCATGCCCGAGTCGCTCCAGGGGTTGATGGTGCGGATGGCCTGGGGAGAAGAGCAGAGTGAAGGACACAGTCCAGCAGGGACACTGAGGCCATGAGGAGGGCTCACACCGCGGTTCCCATCTCCTCCCCAAGGTGGCCCCGCCCCGCTGGCCTTCTGCACCTGGAGTTACCTGGATGATGGTGAGCAGCTCCTCCCGGTCGATGCAGCCATTGCCATCGACGTCGTAGAGCTTGAAGTACCAGCGTAGCTTCTGCTCCACCTTGCCCTTGAGGACCAGGCTGAGCGCCGCCACGTACTCCATGAAGTCTATGTAGCCATCCTGTGGGCGGGGTTTGAGTCTGGCCACGCCCACCACAAGCCACACCCACACCCGCAGGGCACGCCCACTCTGGTCCTGCCTTCACCCATCCAGCCCCAGTCAGGGTTCATCCAGGTCATGGTCATCCCGGACCACGCCCACCTATCAAGTTCACGCCTACCCGGTCACATCAAACACTGCCGGCCACCCCTTTCAGTCCTGGCCATGTCCACCCCAGTCCTGGCCTGCAGGCTCAACCACTATCATCCAGGGCTACGCCCCCACCCAGGCCACGCCCCGTCCAGGCCACGCCCTTGCGTCCTGATCCCCCTTATTCTTATGAGAGGCGGGGACTCCTGGAGTCCTCCTGTGATCCTCTCCCCTTTGGTGCCACCCCTATCTGTCCTCCTGGATGTCCTGCATAGCTCAGCCCCTGCACACCAGGCTTCGTGAGGTCCAGTAAACTACCCCTAGTGCGTGTGAGCCGAGGGCGCTGTCCCTTGGCAGGCTTTGGGGGTCTGTCATGGTTGCTTCTCTGCCAGTCTCAGCTCCAGCCCTTCTGGTTAGGGACGCGGGAGGGGGGGGGGTGTATACGGGCTATGTCGGTGGGGCACTTTGGGTGGGTGCTGGCAGGAGTGGGAGGGGCAGGAGGCTGATGGCGGAGCAAGGAGCCACTGTCTCTTTCTCCTGCTTGCCATGCCGGAAGCCTGGGGCTGGCCGTGAGGCCCTGGGTCGGTAGTGTTAGGGTGCAGTTTGAATCCTGGCTCCACCCTTCTAAGCTGTAGGATCTGGGGCAAAGGACACTCTGTCCTGAACTCTCTCATGTGCAGTAGTCCTAAGGGTCACGCTGCTGTGGGATGTGGGTCCTGGTATACAAAGCGCTTGGCACCGAGACAAACAGGAGGTCACCACGAGGCCTGTTTGGAGCCCATAGGAAAGGCCCTTTCATAACAGGGAGGTGGAGCCTCCCTGTCACCGAACGCACACAAGCAGAGGTTGGCAGGGAGGTGGCGGGGCCAGGGCTGGCCGGCCTCCGAGAGTGCCTGATGTGGGTCCCAGTGAGCGTATCCGTGTGGGTTTCCCATGGTCAAGGGCTTCCAAAAGGGTTGGAAAAGCAAGGAAACTGCCAGGACAGTCCCGCTCAGGCAGGGGACGCAGGGTGATTGCTTTCACCTGTCTTTTTTATCTCCCTAGAGTGCTGAGAGTTTTAACGAGCTGTATTATTTTTCTAACTAAAAAAGTAATGACTGCAAGGTGGTAATGGTAAAATTAAGGAGTTTTGCACCAAAAAGACCTAAACCTTTGAGGAGAGGCTTGACTTTGGCCCATCACGAGGCCTCCTTGAGCCTCCACACTGTCAGCTCTGAATCGGGGCCATCAGTCCACGCTTTTAGATCCAGTGGCCATCCCAGGCAGGCGGCCTTCTTCTGTGCTTTTGCACACTGTCTTTGCTGAATCTGGCAGCTCCTCCCAGCAGGTGGGGATCTCTGTTCTCGGGAACCGCACACCTGTGCTCAGAGGCCACTGCCGGGGCCTGGCACCCAGCCTGTCTCTTAACTCTGCACCACGGGTCCCAGGGCTGATGTCAACAAGTCAAATCAGTGTCACTGCAAAGGGAGTCAAGAGGATGCTCTGCTTTGTAATGACTGCATGGTTGTCATGTGTGGTGGAGCAAAAATAAAAATCCCTGTCTTGGTGGGACTCCCAGTCCTCCCAAGGGAAGGCAGATTATGACCATAAAAGTTAACTGTCACTTAAAATCTGCTATCAGACCAGGCATGGTGGCACATGTTTTTAATCACAATACTCGGGAGGCTGAGGCAAGAGGATCACCACAGATTTCGGGCCAGCCTGAGCTATGTAGTCAGCTGAGTTTGGACTGCATGGTGACTGAGTTTGGACTGCAAAAAAATTTTTAAAGAACATATAGAAGCAGAAGATGAGAAGTTTTGGAGGTTGGGGAGAGAAAGAAATGCAGAGGTAGGGACCAGACCTACCTCTTGTTGTCTGTGACATGAGGGATCCCTACACTGAGCTACAGGCCCAGTGCTTTTTGTTGTTTTGAGATGGCCTCACCATGTTGCCCTGACTGGCTTTGAACTTGCAGTCCTCCTGCCTCAGCCTCCAGAGTAGCTAGGATTAGAGGCATGTGTTCCTTCGAGGGCACTGGCATCCAAAATGGTGACACTACCCCTCCGGGTCTCTGCCCGCCCTGCTCCCCTTCAGGAAAGCCCTGGGGACCCGGATGCTGCCCTTGAAGTGAGGACTCCAAACCTCCAAACCCATAATCTGCTTTGGCTCCTAAGCCCCACATATTAGAGAGTTTTAAATAGCTATGTGGCCCCCAGCTGTCCCCAGAGGCACAAGGCCAGGTACCACTTGGTGTCAGCTTCCAGGTGAGGCGGCAGCAGGTTGGGAACTGGGCTTGTGGATAAGGATTCTTTTGCCACAGTATCTGCCCAAATTGCTCCAAGTAAATGGAACATTTGTTACTGAAACTCAGTTTCATAATCTATGTGCCACCACCCAGGGTAGACCCTGGGCACTAAACTGTGACTGAGAGAGGACAGGGGTTCAAACTCCCCTGGCCTATCCCCTCCAGCTCCTCAAGACAACACACCCAACATGACGGGGTCACACAGCCTGCCCGCTGTGTGGCTTCAGACTCCCATGAGGACCCTAGGTGTTTGCACTTGGGTGTCCTGCTCCTCAGTGACCATGCAACCCCGTGCACTCCCAGTCTTAGCATCCATAGAATGTCGTAGGTGACCCAGGTAAGGTGACCCTGCCCAGGCCGGCCCAGCATGGCTCTCTGCCCTCCTCCTCCACCCTCTAGAGCTGCTGGGCCTTTGCACCAGCACCAGGGCTCAGCAATCCCCATGGAAGAGTCACACTTGTTTCAGAAAGATCTGGACACACACCTTGTGGAAGGGGAAGGGGAGCCCCCTGAGTTCAGCCCCCGATCCATCCGCTTTGTGGGTCTCTCTGTCCCCCCCTAGAATCAAGGGCAGGGCTAGGGTCTGATTCTTTGCTGAGCAGAGCAATCGCTCCACGAACATTGGATAAATCAAATCCCTGCCTTCCAAAGTCAGCCTACCTAGCCAAGGGTGGTGTTGAACTCCTGTAATCTCAGCCGTCTGGGAGGCTGAGGCAGGAGGATTGCGAGTTTCGCCCTGCCTGTGCATCTTAATGACTTAGTAAATCTAGTGTCAAAAGACCTCAGGTTCAATCCCTAGTACTGGAAAGAAAGAAGGAAGGAAGGAAGGAAGGAAGGAAGGAAGAAAGGAAAGAAGGAAGGATGGGGGACCGGGTCCAGAGCTGCTCTTCAGAAGCTCTTCCTCACCACACCTTGTTGAAGTCAAAGGTCTCGAACATCTGCTCCACGTACTCCGTGGCCGAGGGGCTCAGGTTCTTGAGGCCGAAGAACTGGCGGAACTCATAGAAGGTGAGCTGGCCCGAGGGGCACTCGGTCATGAACTTCTTGTACCACTGGTGACACTCAGTGCTACTCAGCTCCTCCACCGACTTGCCCTCCACCACGTTGCCCATGGCCTGGCCTCGGAGGCTGGTGCCCAAGGTGGACAGAGGTGGCCGCTTGAGGGTGGCGTGGCCGGGACCTCTGCACTCAGAGGACCAAAGGAGCCACCAGAGGAGAGGGGTGGCTCGCGCCCGAGTCAGGTGACACCAGGGCCCAGTGTTAAAAGTCTCCGCTAAGCCCTGGCAGCAGGGTCTATATCTGGAGCAGCAGCTCCTGGGATTATGGCCTTGAGCTAGGTGAGCAGCTTTCCCCACCCAGATGGAGATCTCCTAATCCTACTTAGCGCCCATGGGTGGCCAGCCAGCAGCAGCTCTGATCCTGTGGCCTCTGTGCCCTGATTATCCTGTTTTTTGGGTTCATGATGTTTCTGATCCTACTCCCAGATGCAGTAGATAGATCTGCTTACAGCCAAGCATGGTGGCACACGCTTGTAATTCCAACACTTGGGAGGCTAAGGCAGGAGGATCCCTGCCAGTTCAAGGCCAACCTGGGTTACTTAGTGAGTTGAAGACCAGCCTGAACTGCAACATGAGACCTTGTCTCTCCCCACAAAAAAAATTGTCAGATAAAGTAGCACATGTCTATAATACCAGCATTTGGAAGGCTGAGGCAGAAGGATCACTGTGAGTTTGAAGCCAGCCTGGGTTACATTGTGAGCTCAAAGCCAGATAAAACTACATCTGTTGGGGCTGGGGATGTAGCTCAGACACATAAGCGCCTGCCTTGCAAGCGTGTGGTCATGAGTTCAATCCCTGGTACTGGTAAAAAAAAAAAAAAAAAAAAAAAAAACTACATCTGTCTCAAAAAAAAAAGTTATTTTTTAATTTTTTTTTTTCTTTTTCCTTTTTATCAGTACCAGGGATCGAACTCACAACTGCCTGCTTGCAAGGCAGGTGCTTATGCCGCTGAGCTAAATCCCTAGCCCCAAAAAGTTATTTTTTAGTGGTTCCTAAACAACATACATTGCTCATATAATCAGAGAGGAGAATTTTTGAAAAAGAAACCATCCAGGGCTGTTTCACCTGTACTCTCCTGGACATGGATGTAGGATTCCAGGGCCGGAGCTGGGACCCACATTGAGGGACTTGCCTGGGCCTAGCTGTGGCTTGTCCCCTATGGAGCCCTCCCAGGTTCCAGATGTAAGAGGGTCTGGGGGCAGCTCCTGCTCAGTCCCCCTCTGGTTACCCCAGCCCTCTTCCGGAGCATTGCCTCTCCCCAGGAAGCCCCCTGTCTCTCTCCTCCACACAGCTTCATTGTATACCAGTTGTACTGGTTCTGCGTCCCACGAAACCAGTGACCTGGGCCAGCTGCTTAGACCCAGACACTTGTCACCTCATGTCTTCCTGGCCAGAGACTCCTACAGCTGCCTCCATGGCATCTCCTGAGCAGCATTTGTGTCTGGACCCTCAGCCAAGGGAGAAACTCTCCCTGCTCACTGTGGCAGGTGGCAGAGCCCTTTCCTGCAGCCTCCTGTGACCTCACAGTTACGTGCCTTCCTGGTCCATTGAGTCTCTAATTGGCCGAGTCTCACAGCTCATCAACCACTCACAATGGGCATGGTGGTGCATGCATGTGATCCCAGGATCCTGGGAGGCTGAAGCAGGAGAAGTATGAGTTAAAGCACAGTCTGGACAACTTTGCAAAGCCTCATTTCAAAATAAAAAATAAGAAAAAGCCAAGGGACGCAGCTCAGTGTGAAGGCCCTGGGTTCAGTCCCCGGGACTGCAGGGAGAGGGGAGAGAGAGAGAGAGATCATTTGGCTGATGGGGGCTTGAACATCATAACACAGTGCCCAAGGGAAGGTGTGGCAGAATCCTGTGGTCTCCCACCAGGGCCAAGACAGAGCAGTGGGATGGGGTCACACAAGGGGCCTCCCCAGTCCCATGTGCGGGGCTCACCCCACTCTACATGAGATACAAGAATTGTAGCAGAATAAGGATCCCCAGCCCCAGTTCACACCACTTCTAGGTGTTGGCACCAAAGCCCAGCTCCTGAGAGGGCCTGGGGGGTGGACCTCCAGGAGGCCAGGTCAGAGAGGCGGAGGTCCAACCCAGCCTCGGTACCCATGGAGGGCGGGAGTGTGGATCCCCAGGAGGAGCCTGCGGGAGAGGTCCTGCGGCCTCCGCGGATGCCTGGCTGCAGGGTCCCCTCCCGGGCTGGACACCAGAGCAGAACACTGGGGTGGGAGGACCCAGGGTAGGGAGTGGGTGTAGTGGGCTGTGACCGTAGCCTGGCTCCTCCTCCAGGACCACTGGCTGTCCGCTCACCCCCAGCAACACCACGGGGCTCAGGCAGGCTCTTTTGCCTCGTGTTTCGCGACCCCACTCTGTCCCTGTCCAGGGGGACACGCGAGCGCTTCCTACAGAGCAAGCAGCACTACCTAGGTACGCCTCCAGGGGGCGCCTGGGGACCTATCCGTCCAGGCCTCCAGACACAGCCAGGGCCTCAGTTTACCCACCCGCAGCCACCCACTCGGACGCCAGGGCAGAGGAGGACAACGTTTAATCGCTGCTGAGGGGAGACAGCGTGCTGGGCACAGGCGAGGCCGCCGTCTAGGACTGCCACAGGGCCACGTTGGCAGGGGGCACGTCGAAGCGCTTGCGGGTGTGGTCGGTGTCCCTGCGGTACAGGTAGCCGCAGGTGGGCTTCTGCAAGGTGTAGAAGGGGCTCAGGGAGTTGGAGTACTGGGCCGTGTAGAAGGAGGCCCGCAGCGGGCCCAGGGGCTGCCCCTGGGCATCCATGGCCACGGGTACGTAGGCGGCCGCCAGCGACTGCTCCCGCTCCCGCATCCAGGCCCGGGCCAGCGGGGCACTCGGGGGCTTCACCTTCCAGCCCGACGGCGTCTTCGATCCATGGGCGGGCGTGGAGGGATTCTGGGGCAGGACAGAAGCCGCAGTTGGGTCCCGCAGGGTTAGGCGGGGACAGGAGCCCTCCTCCCCCAGCACAGGCCGCCCGGCCTGGGGTCCCCTGGCTGTCCCAGGCTGCAGACCCCCCGGCCTGCACAAGCAGCACAGGGAGGCTGGGTGTCCACCGCCCACCCTGCAGCGGCCCTCTGCCTGACCCCTACTGCTGGGGAGTAGTAGCCTCTGCTTCCCTGCCCCTCACCCCTCTTCCTGTCACCCCCCTTCCTAGCAGGTCTCCTCCTCCCTTCAGTCTCTTGCCTTCCTGGCTTGCCTTTCTGCTTACTCCAGTTTATCTATTTATCACCTGTCTGTCTGTCTGTCTGTCTGTCTGTCTGACTATCTATCTATCTATCTATCTATCTATCTCTTTCTTTTCTTTTCTTTTTTTATGCCACACTGGAGATTGAACCCAGGGCCTTCCCACTGAGCTATGTCCTCAGCCTTTTAAATTTTCAGATAGATCTCATAAAGTCACTAAATACCCCCAGGCTGGCCTGGAATTTCTGATCTTCCTGCCTCAGCCTCCTGCTGGGATAACAGGCCTGCACCCTAACACCTGGCTAATCTTCCTGTATAAATGGACCCAGCCCTTGGACCTGTTCCTCTCCCAAGCTCTTCTGCTCCCTGCAACCCATAAAGGGGAGCCCAAAGCATCCCCGTCACCCTTCTCTAGCTCATTGGGGACACCGAGTCTCCCAGGGACACAGTCAGCACCCTCTCCTTACCCTGGACATAGCGGCCTAGCACACCGAGGCATTGAGAGAGGGGTGCCCTCCAAGTGTGGGCTCACCGGGGTTCCCGTCCCAGTGCCTGGCCGTCCTCCACCCACCATTCCACTTTAGAACACCGGTCATTGTGACTTCATGTCCCTCCCCCGCCTTGCTGTCCACTCCCCTGTGGGCCCCATTGCCCCTGACACTTACCTCCTGCTCTGTCAGGCCCTCTGGACAGACCTGTGAACGACTGTCTAGTCACTCTGAGCTCAACCCCATCTCCCAGGTACTGGATGTCATTGTATGAGGGCCCCGGGCCTGACTGTGGCCATCCAGCTGCAAGTGACCGGGCCAGCTCCACTCCATTCCCCCAGGTTTCTGCCCCAGCGGGAAGGAACCCTGTTCCTCTCTGCCTACCCCTGGGGAATCTCTGCCCACTTACAAAAGAAGGCCCAGGGGCTCCTGGCCTAAGACACCTCACTTGCATTTGATTTGCAAACCATTTGTCCAGTCCAACCTTGCCAGGGTTTCCCTCACGCCCACCCCCTGCAAGGCAGCCGTCTTTGCCCCTGTGGTTCTTGTGCACTGCACAATCACAGCATTCAAGGAGAAACCCAGTAAGATTCCTCTGTGACACCACCTTTTGTAGCCATCTTAGTTCAGGCAAGAGCAGTATGATGTTTGCACAGCACATTTCAAAATCGTGCTTATCCTCCCAAGCCCAACAGCTGTCTTCCCCAGTAATGGGGATCAACCCAGAGGGCTTGCTGCATGACTAAGCGACTTGCGCAGGCCTTTTTAGAGGCAGGCTCTCTCCACATTGCCCAGGCTGCTTTCCAACTTCCAGTCTTCCAGCCTCAGCCTCCTAGGTAGCTGGGATTACAGGTGTGCACCACCACACCCAGTTCAAGGGATCCACACACAGGCCAAAGCATGTTTGTCCCTTCTTCCAGGACTCCACGCGGTTGGAGGGTGCCCAGAGAGCTGCCGTGCATGGGCAGCATTAGTACGGGCCACCTCGACTGGACGCAGCCAGCCGCTGCCGTGACACCCAGGCTGCTTGTGAAACTCCATGGGCCTGGGCAGCTGGGGAGGCTACAGGGGGTCTGAGGGGCTGCCCTCTGCACTGCCCCACCTTCTGGTCAGGCCACCTTGGACGCCTTTACACCTCGAAGCCTCCTCTGCAAAACGGGGTGACAAGGCTTCCGGACCCACAGGCTTGTGAAGATGGGGACAGGGAGCACAAGTCCTCAGGGGCCTTGCACGGCTCGCCGGGACCTGTGGGAGAGTGAGTCTGCCCGAGTGTCTCCTCACTGGCTGCTAAATCTTTGGGTAAACTATACCATGTACCTCAGTTTCCCCATCTAGAAAGTGGGAAAAACAGAGGAAGACTCTCCTGGTATTTCATCGAGGACCCAATAGCTGTCTCTGTAAACTACCTCGATTTAAACGCTCAGTACACTACCTCCTCATGGCTGGGTGGGGGACTACACCTGTCTGTGTCTCTGCTGCTCTGGGAGGCTGAGGCAGGAGGATGGAATGCTGATACCCACTCTGGGCAACCTTGTCTCAAAAATAAAACTTTAAAAAGGTCTGGGAGTGGTCCTGGGTCCCATCCTTAGCATACACTCCCCCCAAATAATCCCTACCTAGCATTTAATAACCCTTGCAGTGAGATCGCTCTGGAAAGACTAGATCAACCTCCTGAGGGGCTCAGGAAGCAGCTGAGGAGGAAGATCACGGGGTCCAGAGTTCGCTGGTGGCCATGACCCCAGCCCCTGAGCCTTTCACAGCGGCCTGGCGCCAACCACAGTGGCCTCTACCACCGTCCTGAGACCTCAGGCTGCTGGTCGATCCCTGTGACGTCACCCACCTTGATCATCCTGGAAAGGGCCTCCGTGATACTGAGATGAAACTCTGTGGGGGCAGAGGCTCCCAGACCTCTTGGGGGGGGCAGGTGAGGGGCACTTGCAAGGTGAGGCATTGTGACGTCTCCTCACAGCATGGTCCCCTCTCTCTTCCTAAGGGGACACAAGGTCAGGACCATGACGGGAGTTTTGTCTGTTTTTCTGTTTTATTGAGGTTTTGAGATGTATTATTTTGTATTGTTTTTGAACACGGGGTTTTGTTACATAGTTCAGGCTGACCTTGAACTCATTATGTAGCCCAAACTGGCCTGAAACTTGAAATGATCCTGCTGCTCCAGGCTCCCAAACGCTGGGATTACGAATACATGTCACCACACCCAGCTCTGTGAGTGTCTTTAATTTTGACACTCACCTGCTCTGCTGTCCCAGCCTCCGACACACCGGAGGACCCCCAAACTGTGGGCAGCAGGAAGGTAGAGGGCGAGCTCCTAGCTATTGCTGTAACCCGAAAGCCCTAATGTACCCTTCCCACCCCTGCCAGGCCTCTGGTGACCAGGGCGTGTGCCCCACCTCGAGTTTCCAGGTGTGGCTGGGTAGTGGCATGGATTGGTGTCACCATCTTCAAAATCCAGCCCCCTATGCCCCACGGTCCCCAACAGAGTTCTTGGCGGGTACCTTCCCGGACCGTGTATCCACCCCGTGTAGGGAGGAAGGACAGAGCAGGGGGTGGCAGCTGGAGGCGGGGGAGGGGCGCTGCCCTGCACTGTGCCAGCTCTGCCTGGGCCTTATTTGCTTCCTTCCTGATGCCGCATCAGCAGGATGGGACTGCAGGTGACAGGCACACTGGGAGCTGCAGCTGAGGGGCCCACAGTTCCTACTGCGCCTGAGGGCAGTGACCCCTCATTTCTGGGAGGCGGGGAGGAACCAGGCAGGGAGCACAAGTAGGGGTGAGTCTGGGCTGGGGGCCCGAGGCCCGGAGACCTCACACTGGTCCTGTCTGTGTCAGCACAGGGCCACGAGGATCCTGGGTCCTCCACCTTAGAGGTCCTGCCAGCAGTATCCTCCCCCACCCACGTGCAGACCACGCCTCCCTCACTGCAGGGACCCCAGAGCAGGTAGGAAATCCTGGCCTGGTGATCCTTACCTTATTTCATTTATAAAGTGCGTTGAGGTTCTCACCTTTGACCTCACTGAACTTTGGTTCAGATCTCAGCTCTGAGCCAGATGGAGCAGTGCAGACCTGTAATGCTTGCATTTAGGAGGCTGAGGCAGGAGGACTGTCATGGATTTGAGGCCAGCCTGGGCTACGTTGGGAGACGCTGTCACATGACAAAACAAAACAGAAACAGAGAACAAATCCCAGAGCTGCTGCTGCTTCTCAGCTGTGCCAGTACACAAGCGATTTCAGCGCTCTGAGTCTCCACCCTCTGTGACGAGTGAGGGCGTGAGGACAGCCCAGGCTCTGCTGCCGGCTTCCATGGAGGAACTGCTGCGGGAGGGCCGGGAGTTACAGCAGTGCCGGGTCTGAAATCCGGACAGCGCTGCTTCAGTGCAGCCGCCTGGGAAGCCGCTCGTCCCACCTTATTTTCCCGGTCCACGAAGCTCCTGGAAGATGGAGACTGCAGCTGAGAGCTGCCTGTGGTGGCACACGCCTGGAACCCCAGCACTCTGACAGGCTGAGGCAGGAAGATGACAAATTCAAGTCCAGCCTGGGTAATTTGGCGATTTAGTGAGACTCTGTCTCAAAGTAAAAAATAAAATTTAGCGATTTAGTGAGGTTGCAGCTCAGTAGGTTCAGTCCCTGCACCCCGAAAAACAAGAGAGAGGCTTGGTCCATACTGCAGGGCTCAGGATGAGGGGACCAGCGTGCCTCTGGCAGCCGCGGCACGGGAAGATCAGCTACCTCCACCTCGCCCCTGTGGCCTCCGTGCTCAGCCGCATCCCAGCCAGGCAAGGAGCAGCTTCTGGGTGGCTGGCACGGGCACCGTGGCCGGCATGCTTTCCAGCGCCTTGATTTCCTTCCATTGCTCAGGCTTTTTCTTGAAGGTTCCATCCCTGTTTTTGGAAGATTGTTCCGTGTCCGCGGACCTGGGCGAACTTCCGGTTTCTGCTGGACCATCACCTTGCCCTCCAGACGGGGTCTCTGTCTTACCTCTCTGCTCCCTGGGATGGGCCCCAAGTGCTCCGACTTCCTGTCCCCACAAACCATGCTCCGGGGCCTCATGGCCAGGTCTTTGTGGTCCCCCCCCCACCCCTTTATTTTGAAGACAGCTTCTTCCTGGATTGCCAAAACTGGCCTCAAACTCCTGGGCTCAAAGTGATACTCCTGCCTCAGTCTCATGATGCCATGCTTGAAAGGGGTCATGGCTCTTTCAAACTACATTTTTCATTGCTGGATGGAACTAAGGGCCTCAGGAATACTAGGTAAGTGGGCTACCACTGAGCTACATATATTCCTTAGATTTTTTCTTTCTTTTTCATACTGGAAATCAAGCCCAAGACCCTTGCAGTGGTTATACACCAGCCCTTTAAAAAAATTTTTTTTCTGGCCATGGTATCATATACCTTGTAATCCTAGCACTGGGAAGGCTGAGGCAGGAGGATAACTGTGAGTTCAAGGCCAGCCCGGGCTACAAAGTGAGTTCAAGGTCAACCTAAAATGCATAACAGAAACTGTCTGAAAAGTGTCTGCTCGTTTTTTTTTTTTTTTTTTTGAGAGGGGTTCTTGATAAGTCACTAAATTGTCCAGGCTGGGCTCAAATTTGTAATCCTCCTGCCTCAGCCTCCCTGAGTGGCTGGGGACTGTGGGTGTAACGCACCACACCCAGTTTAGATGTTTTAGTTTTGCTTTCTGGATATAACAATGTATTTTTAAAAAATGTATGCAAGTCCAGTACTGTTCCACAATGTGGGGTGCATCTCAGAACGGAGTATTTCGTGCTGGAGCCAAGGTGACTTTTAGGCACCCGCTTGGTGCCTGGACCTCTCTGTCAGGAGTCCTTGGCAGATCCTGCTGGCCTCCTGCAGCCTCTGGCAACCTGGCCTCAGCTCAGCACTGCCAGAGTTGCGCAGGGGAGGGGAGGGGGCTCAGAACTGGGCACTGCCTGTGCCAACCCCTCTGTGGGCTGCCTAGTTCTCACCCTCACAGAGCCCCTAACAACCTCGTCCAGCAGCCCAGCCTGCAAGGCGGGGCTTGGGGTAGGGAAACTGTGGCCAAGGTCACATACTCGGAATGGGCAGAGCCAGGAATCGGGCCCACAGTCTCACTGATGGTGCACAGCTCTGGTCCCAGCACTTGGGAGGCTGAGGCAGGAGGATGGCTGTGAGTTCAAGGTCAGCCTGAACTGCATAGTGAGACCCTGTCTCAAACCATCCCCACCACAAGAGAAGAACCTGAGAGGAAAATACAGTGTCCTCCAGGTGTCCAGCCCACTAGACACAGCAGTCCCCAGCCAGGCTCACCTCAGATGTGAGGCCCTTAGGCGAGCCGCCCAGCCCCTTCAGGACAGCATCAAGAGCAGCAGAGCGGTGGGCACTGGGACCCCTGCCTGCTGGCCCGGGCAGGCACAGGACGTGGATCAAGGTGTCAGAAGCCAACGTCATCGTCATCTGCGGGGTGGGTTCACAGCCTGTCACTCGTGTCCCCAGCTGCAGATACCCTTGTGGGGACAAAGGTGTCCCCATTCAGAGCCTGGCCTGGGCTCCGGGGGGAGGGGAAGGTGTGCTGACAGGGCCCGGCCCACCCACATTCCGGAACTGACCAGGCCCCTGAGTCACTGCTGAGCGGGATGTAATTAATTACAGGCCCAGGCTCTCTGCCATTTTGCTGTTTCCTTTCCTGGAGGAGCAGGTGTGGTTAGGTGACAGGTCTTGGTGAGGCAGTGCCAGCTCTTGGGGCCCTCATTCCTGGGGCCCCAGGGAGATAGGACCCCTAAACCTGCCACATAGGCAGAAACTGGAGGGGCTCGTAGGGGTGCTCCCTGCTGAGCCCACCTCCCCTGCAGCCCTCTGGGCTGGATGCTTTACACTTTTTGTTTTGTTTTGGGTTTTTGTCTTTGGTACTGAGGATCCAAATCATGGCCACGTGCTTGCAAGGCAGGTGCTTATGTTGCTGAGCTAAATCTCCAGTCCTTACATTTCTTATCTTACTTTGTTTGTGTGAGTTGCCTTTTTGACACAGGGTCTTACTGTGTAAGGCGAGGCTTGGCCTTGAGCTCACAGCAATCCTCCTGCCTCAGCCTCCACTAGCTTACTAATTCTTCATGAGGAGCCAGGAGAGGTTGTTGCTGGCAGCCTTGTGCCACACACAGACAAAGGCACCCTGAGGACCCTCTCCGCTCCCACTCATTCCCAAGCCCCTCTGTGTCTCTAAGACACAGTCACCACGCCAACAGAGCTGTCTGGTTCCAGTTTGAGCAACAAGTCCTGGTCCCTTCCTCTCCTGCTGGATCAACCAATCAGATGATTAATGAGTAATCAAGAAGCTTCCAGCTGGGCACTGTGATGCACACCTGTAATCCCAGCATCTGGGAAGCTGAGGCAGGAATATCACCATGAGTTCAAGGCCAGCCTGGCTACAGAGTAAGACCCTGCCTGGAAAAATAAATTGAGGCTTCCCTTCCCCCAGCCCTTCCTCTGCCCACTGGCCCTCCCACCAGCTGTGTAGGACAGAACTCAATACACACTGGTCAGGGACTGCACTAGGCAGCAGGGGTCTGTGCCAAACTCTCCTGCCTGCGTATTTCTTTCATCTTAAATATATTTACATTATTTGATACTGTAAAAGGGTGTGATGGCACATATCTGTGATCCTATAGCCTGGGAGGGGGCTGAGGCAGGAGGATCTCAAATTCAAATTAGTGATTCATGGACTGAGTGAGATGCTGTGTCCTAATTTAAAAGGGAAGCAGGTGCGTTTCAGTCAGTGCAAAGGCCCTGGGTTCAGTCCCCAGTGCCATAAAAAAAAAAAGGAGTTTTATTTTTCACCTCTTTATCTCTCCACATCCCTCCAGTAAGCACTTTCATTAACTTTTTAATGACTCTCTGTAACAAAACAAACAAGTGAGACCATAGTTACCAGCCCGGCTTCGCCCAGGACTCAGGATGCTGCCATGAGGCTTGGGTCCCTGCCTATCAGTTCATCTTGGAAATGGCTGGGTGGATGGTGGCGCGGTCCTGCTCAGAGCAGTGTCAGACTCAGCATGAGGACACCTCACCATTGTGTCCCCGCCAACCCCTAGGGACACTTAGTCCTCCCTGACTTTCCCAGCTGTTGCTCTCAGGCCTCCATGCTTGGCCCCGCCTTGCTGTGCAGGGTCCCCCAGTCGCTGCCACCATCTCAAACCCCCGCAGATGTCCCTGCCTTGTCTTCCCAGACAGACTGTGGTGACTGGGACTCGAGGACCAGGTCTGTGACTCCGCTGGCCACGTAGGCACTGGGAACCTAGTGTTGAACTTCTGGGGTCCTGTCCACACTGAGTGGGGGGCTGCTGGTGACCGGGGCCTCTGCTGCCCACAGTGCTGGGCAGCGCTGCACCAGGAGCTGCCCCGTACCCCATGGAAAGAGCAGCGAATGCCTAGGGCATGGGTAGCTGGTGCCCAGGTATCATAGGGCATCCCTGCGTCCTCCAGAGATCATAGAGAAGATGGACGGACTGGTTCTAGAAGCCTCTCTGACCACCCTCTTCATGGGTCACCTCCAGTCCTGGCTCCTTCCCAGAAGCCTCGCTGGACTCCTCCTGTCTCCCCTCCTCTTACTTTCTGTGGGGTGCACTGACGATGGTTTAGTCATTTGTAGTCTGCTACCCCATTCCTATGTACCCCAGCTTCCTGGTGAGACCCCAAAACGCTCTGTGTAGAAAAATTAGGGTAAGGATTATCAAGATCTCACTAAGTCACCGAGTTGTCTAGGCTGGGCTGGAAATAGAGATCCTCCTGCCTCAGCCTCCCAGAGTTCTGGGACCTGGCTTGGCCACCTGTAGAACACTGGGCGTCTTTCTGGAGCACCACCTGACCCTCCGTGGGCCCTCCCCGTCTCTGCTTTTTTCCCTTTTTTGTGACAGGGTTTTACTAGGTAGTTCAGTCTGGTCCTGAACTCACTTTGGAACCCATGTTGGCCTCTCACTCGTGGTGATCCTCCGGCCTCAGCTTCCAAGTGCCGGGATTACAGGAGTGCACTACCACGCCCTTTCTGGTTTTAGATGACCGCAAAATGCCAAGTTAGTCACCCTGCGTCCTCTCCAGGCCTCTCAGGGAGGGGAGTCCCCACCTTCACCGTCAGCAGTTTGCTATGTCACTGTTGGTTCTTTTTCCCTATGGGCATTTCCTCTTGGCTTTTTTTTTTTTTTTTTTTTTTTTCTGTACTGGGCTGGACCAGACCAGGGCCTTCACACTGAACTTCATGCTCAACTCTTTATATTTACAGGGTCTCGTGATTCAAGCTGGTGGTCTTGAACTCACAACATAGTCCAGGTTGGCCCTGAACTCCTGGCAACCCTCCTGTCTCAGCCTCCTGTGTGCCAGGCTCACAGGCGTGTGCCACCACACCTAACCTTCATTTTTTATTTTGAGACTGGTTCTTGCTAAATAGCTAAACTGCCCCTAGCGGGCTGGAACTTGTGATCCTGCTGGGACCGTCCTGGGCCTCCCAGAGTGCTGGGGTTACAGGCCTGAGCCCAGCCCACGCTGGGCAGCTCTGGCCAGGCCTGTCCTGGAGCTGGCGTACCGGTAGTTTCCCAAGCGCTCAGATGGACCTGGTCTCGAACCGCCTGCGGGAGGGGAGTCCCCGGCCTGCCGGGGCCCAGGGGTAGGGGCGGGAACCTGGGGGAGGGGCGGCTTCCCAGGGCAGGGCAGGGGCAGGGGCAGGGCCAGGGCTGGGCGAGGTCCCGGCCTGGTGCCACAAAGGCCTGCAGTGGGAAGGCTCGGAGGAATGCGGCCCGGGGAGTCGGGCGGCGGGCGGGGCTGGGCAGGCGCCGCCCTCACCTGGCCAGGTGGCTCGCATTTCCCGGGAGCGCGGCCGGGCGGGGACAGGCACAGGCACAGGGACAGCGACATGGCCGGGTAGGGCGAGCCGGCGCCCCGCGGCACCATGAAGAAGAGCCCGGCGGTGCCCGGCACCCTCAGCAAGCTCTTCGGGAGGAAGCACCCCAGCTCCACCTCCACGTCCCTCTACGCCACCAACCCGCCCTGGATCTTCACCCAGGAGGCCCCCGACCAGGACACCCGGGACTTCGGTGAGCGCGGCCGCGGCCGGGCGGGGAGGAGCCGCCGCCCACACTCGCTCGGCTCCTGGGCCCCGAGCTGTCCCCCGTCCCCGCCGGCCTCTGCTCCCCGACACTGCTGCGCCCTCAGCCTCCCGGGCAAGTCCGCACGCTGCTGGGTCAGGGCTGCGCCCCAGGTCTAAGGCCAGGGTGCCTGGCTCCCCG